TGTTTCCATGTTTCCATGTTTCCAGTGTCTTTCTTGGCACTTGGAACTGAACCCAGATGGACATTTCTTCCAACAATTGATAAAGATTCTTCACAGTCAATTCAACCTCAATTGCTTAAAGGCACTAAGAAAGTTACTATATCAGTTACTCCATACCAGTAAAAAGCAAATTCCTAATGTTTATTTATTCTATTGTATATTTCCATTTTTCATTTCACAATTGCAAAATAATTCATTTCTTACTGTAAATAAATGCTGTTAATAATAAATAGTATGAATAAATAAATACTGGATGGTGTGTAACTTTTTTGTTGTCTCTTTTTCTATTCTTTTTTATTCTTGCCAGAATAAAAGATCTGAACATCTTAGAAGTTTGCATGTTTGTGTGTTGACTGAAGTCACCTAAGTAGCTGTATATTTTAATTTTAAGTAGTATGACTCAGTACTTTTACTTACTTAGTACTTTTGAAAATAAAAATAATAATTCTGTTTCAATTCTTTTAATTATGGGAATCAAATGTCAGCCATCAATTCCTTGCCCTGTTTGGAAATGTTTTTAAGAGCATTTCTGCCTGTTTCCAATCAAAGCCAAACTACTATTCTATGGTTGTTCTCTTTTTTTTACTGTTAAACATATAGAATATGCAAGGTGGTCACCAACACCTTGAATCGCACCCTAAGGACCATTGGGAGCCAGTGCAGCTCACGCAGGAGAGGTGTTACGTGGGAGTGCCATGACGCTCCCATAATCACCCGCACGGCCGCATTCTGGACCAGTTGGAGCCTCCAGGTGCTCTTCAAGGGGAGCCCCATGTAGAGAGCATTGCAGTAGTCCAGGCGGGAAGTGACGAGGGCATGAGTGACCGTGCGTAAGGAGTCCCGATCCAGAAAGGGACGCAACTGGCGAATCAGGCAAACCTGATAAACAGCCTCCCTGGTCACGGCCGTCACATGCTCTTCTAAAGACAACCGTGCATCCAGAAGGACACCCAAGTTGTGAGCCCTCTCTGTGGGGGCCAATGACTCGCCCCCAATAGTCAGAGATGGTGCCAACTGACTATATCGGGATGCCGGAAGCCACAGCCACTCGGTCTTGGATGAGTTGAACTTGAGCCTGTTTCTCACCATCCAGATCCATACGGCCTCCAGACACCGGGACATCATGTCAGGGGCATCATTGGGGTGGTCCAGGGTGGAGATGTACAGCTGAGTGTCATCAGCATACTGATGGTACTTCACCCCGAAACCACGGATGATCTCACCCAGCGGCTTCACATAAATGTTGAACAGGAGGGGCGAGAGGACTGACCCCTATGGCACCTCACATACAAGGCACCTCGGGGTCGACCTCTGGCCCCCCGTCAACACAAACTGCGACCGGTCAGAGAGGAAGGAGGAAAACCACTGCAACACGGTGCCCCCCACCCCTAACCCCTCCAACCGGCACAGCATGATACCATGGTCGATGGTATCAAAAGTCGCTGAGAGGTCTAACAGGACCAGGACAGAGGAACAGCCCCTGTCCCGAGCCCTCCAGAGATCATCAACCAATACGACCAATGCCGTTTCCGTGCTGTGCCTAGGCCTGAAGCCCGACTGGAACGGATCGAGATAGACTGCTTCATCCAGGTACTGGGGGAACTGTCGCGCCACCACACTCTCAACAACCTTCGCCACAAAGCGAAGGTTGGAGACTGGACGATAATTTGCTGAAACAGCCAGGTCCAAGGAGGGCTTCTTGAGGAGGGGCCTCACCACTGCCTCTTAGTTAGGGCTACTACCCTGTGCTTCCCACCACCATTTATCTATTAGTTATCATCACCCAACCAATCACATGCGCTGCTCCCTCCCATGTGACCTGGAAGTTGGTTTATGTTTAATTCTTGGGTATTTACAACCAGCATCTAAACAGTTAATCCACTTGTTATTTCCTGCTGGCCATGATGATGTCATCCCCCAGCTATTCCCTCCCATCAATCCTATCAGTTCCTGGGAGGCTCTACAAAGCAGATGCTGGGCTGAAACAAGGTTTGTGTGTTCCTCCCCACAAGAATGGCAGCTCCATGCCGACAGCACACCAGAACTGACACCTTGCTCATCCCAGTATAGGGAAACAATAATAAAGATAGAATATAAAATACTGATATACTAGATTTAGTAAAAGCTTGTTATTCTGTAATCATTAGGTTCCTGTAATATATATATTGTGCTTTTGTATTTGTATCACATATATTATTCCTTTCTATTTGTATCTCCTGTTACAAACATATTGTCATTAGGCCTCTGAAATGTATCTGGTATTTGTCAAATGTATGACCTGAACTCATATCAATCTCTTTCTGTGCCATCTAAAAGCATGGTACATATCTCAGTTGAAACTAGCCATCAACAAAGGGATAAATTACACCTCAGTCCTAATTTATGTTTGATCTGGATAAGATCTGGTCTTCCAGAGCCAGGGGCTAAGTAGCCAATTAAGTAAACAAAGAAATGCTTAAGATAAGACTAATTGGAAGTTTAGATTCCTTTGCAGGGCAACAAAGAATACACAAACATAAATTAGGGGCCAGAGTTGGGGACTTAACTGGTGCTTTAAAAGTATAAAAATGGTTATATCTTCTCTGAAGATGTGAACCCTCCCATATACATATCTCTTTGTATGTGTTTGGAATGGTTTTATTTTTTTTTTAATTTATTTTTTTTTATATGCCGCCCTTCTCCGGAGACTCAGGGCGGCTTACAATGCGTTAAGCATTTTACCCAGCCTTTTGTCTTTGATCAAAGATTAAATGTTGATTCTTATTCAAGCCTCCGTTTAAGTCTTTCTTTTTGGTTCACTGAGAGTTTAAGCGTATAGCCGGACCTTACACCAGTTTAGAGGACCCTGCCCTCAGTTTAGAAGACCGTAACTCAGAGAAGACATCCCTCAATGCTGCATTTTCACAACCAAAAATATTGGATTAGAATGGGGATGGGCAGCTTGCAGTTCAAATTTGCAGAATTGCCTCAGTAAGTTGCATAAAACAGCTTTATTTCTCTGCTCAAAGCATCCTTTGAGAATTCAGCAACGGAGTCTGGTTAATCTACCTTGAGGGATTTGTATATTTTTATTTATTATATTTGTCTGCTGTCCATCTCATAAAACATGACTCTGAGTGTACAACAATTCCATAAAACCCAACAATTACAAAAAATCACTATACAATTAAAACTTTAATATTATTATTATAAACAACTGAAGGTCTAAAGGGGAGAACTTGTTGTTACTCACAATGCAGCAATCTCATGAAATCATCACATGACCTTATTTTGTTAGAAACTTCCTAATAGTAAGAACAATTAATCCGTGGAACAGCTTCCCTTCAGAAGTTGTGGTGCTCCATCATTGCAGATTTTTAAGAAGAGACTGGACAGCCACTTGTCTGAAATGGTGTAGGGTCTCCTGCTTGAGCAGGGGGTTGGACTAGAAGATCTCAAGGTCCCTTCCAGCTTTATTCTGATTGAAGAGTGAAAAAATCCCCATTTCCATGAGATCCCAAGCCTGCTGGCAAAACCAAGTTTTGAGGGACATCAAGGGTATTTTGCAAAGGCCACAACTGTCTGGGGCAAGATTGTGGCCATAGGTGGTTGTGATGTTAATGTTTTTTTTAAAGGCGGGGAGGGTAAGTAAAGGTGGGATTTGTGCTAGAATTATAGTGCTTGATGTAAGCTTGTTGCTGCATTTAATCAGAAGACATGTCACTAACCAGACGAGTGTTTTGGGCTTCAAGGGAGATGAACAAGACAACAAACCTTTGATTGAAGCAATGTTCTCTTTCAAAATGCTGGAATAAAACAGCTCCCCTGCTTCTCCCTTAACGTAAAAGACCCCCACCCAAGTTTACAACAGGAGCCCCTTTTTCACTGAGCCAAAGTGGCTGGCGGGATCAATTCAACTCATTTCAATGCTTTGAAGTGAAGCAGAGCAATTCAGGCCCATCTCCAATCCAGCCAGCGTGATCATCCAGATAGAGAGAATAACATCTCTTTGCACAGACCAGATTCACAAGTATGTTTAAATCAGTGAATTATAAATAGAAATAATCTGGAATAAATCTGATTAATAGTGTTTCAGGAGGAGTGGCTTTTCTTCAATCTGAAATAGCGTGGTGCTGGAACAATACAGTGTGTGTACACAGATTGCATCTTTATCTCTCTCTCTCTGTCTGTGTGTGTGTAGGGAGGGAGGGAGGGAAGGAGAAAGGGAGAGAAAAATCCATTTTAAGCACAGAAACGGGCTGTATGCTTAAATCCTGGATATCAGACCTTGATTTAAGGGTGCACCACCAGCTGTTCCCTTGCAAAGCTTTTATACTGATCTAACCAGCAATAATAGCAAATTTAATAACATTCCACTCCAGAAATTGCTGTGCCAGTCCGGCGCATGATGTTTCTGTGGATAATGCAGGCCCTCTGCTGTCTGACCACCACATTGCTACCAACGTGATTCATCAGTGCACAGAAAGATGATCTTCTGAGTTCTTTAGAATAGAACAGAGCTGGAAGGGATCTTGGAGGTCTTCTAGTCCAGCCCCCTGCTCAAGCAGGAGACTCCATAGTAGAATCAATACCATTTCAGACAAGTAGCTGTCTAGTCTTTTCTTAAAAACTTCCAGGGATGAAGCCCCCACAACTTCTGAAGGCAATCTGTTCTACTATGTGTTTACTTGCACTATAGTGTATGCTATATTACATTACTGCCTCTGCGAGCGTGCGTATCTCATGCGTTATATAATATGCAATACTGTATACAATATAATATATACAAATATACAATAAATGCAAAATATAACATATAGGTAGCACGCAACGTAAGACAATATTCTACTCCGCTTGCAGAAGAGGTCTAGGACAGAGGGGGCGCTCGCTCGCCCCGGAACAGCTGGAAGCCCCTGTCCGAGGACGATCTAGGCATCGCCACCAACAATCACCAACTTCCGCTCCTGCACACGCCACCTCGAGTCCTCCCCAATTGGTTTCTTCTCTCCACTCCCTATCGGGATTGGCTAACTTTCCCAATTCACCGCCCCTTCCTGCCCTGCCTCTGCGCCGCTTCCTTTCCGCGGGAGGCTGCCATCGCTGGGTCGGCCTCTCCGGCTTCGGTGCGGGGTCGCCGGGCGTTCTTTGTCCGAAAAAAGGCCAACAGGTGGCGGGTGTGGGTGATCGGGCTGGTACACCGCGTTGGGGGTGGACGGAAGGGGGGATCTGCCCGAAATAGGCACGTGTGAAATGGGCAGATGGGTGTATGTGGCCAGGGAGGTTTTCTGTAAGGAGGTGGGTGCTGGCACGTTGGTCCCTCTGCAGTTTCGACAGGGTGTTGTGTCTGCTGGGCGTGCATGGAATAATGCCTCATCATCATCATCATCATCATCATCTATAATAATACAGGTAGTCCTCGACTTACAACAGCTCATTTAGTGACCGTTTGAAGTTGCAACTGAAAAAAGCAACATGACCATTTTTTCACACTTAACAACTGTTATGGCATCCCCTTGGTCAAGTGATTCACATTCGGATGCTCGGCAACTGGTTCATACTTAACGACGGTTGCAGTGTCCCCGGGGGGGGGCCATGGGATCCCCTTTTGTGACCTCCTGACTAGCAAAGTCAATGGGGAAGCCATATTCATTTAACAACCCATGTTACTAGTTTAAGAACCGCGTTTATTTTCGTTGAACGAATATGAGAAAAGTCAAAACCACGGGGCAAAACTTGCTTAACAGATTTCTTACTTTTACCAATATAAATTTTGGACTCAATTATGGTCGTATGTTGAGGACTACCAGTATCTGTAGTGTTTTCCAAATCTGGCCACTTTTAAGATGAGCAGACTCCAGCCCCCGAATTCCTCAGCCAGATTTGCTTTGCTGGCTGGGCAGTTATGGGAGTTGATGTTCGCCCATCTTAAAAGTGGTCAGATTTGAAAATATATATACATATATATATATACATACATACAGACCATAATTGAGTCCAAAATTTATATTGGTAAAGTAAGAAATTTGTTAAGCAAGTTTTGCCCCGTGTTTTTGACTTTTCTCATATTTGTTCAACGAAAATAAATGCAGTTCTTAAACTAGTAACATGGTTGTTAAATGAATATGGCTTCCCCATTGACTTTGCTAGTCAGGAGGTCACAAAAGGGGATCACATGGCCCCTGGGACACTGCAACCATCGTAAGTATGAACCAGTTGCCAAGCATCCGAATGTAAATCACTTCACCAATTTATATATATAAATTTGATTTATATGCCGCCCTTCTCCGGAGACTCAGGGCGGCTTACAATGCGTTAAGCAATAGCCTCCATACTTTTGTATATTTATACAAAGTCAGCTTATTGCCCCCACAAACTGGGTCCTCATTTAACCTACCTTAGAAAGGATGGAAGGCTGAGTCAACCTTGAGCCTTGCAGAGATTCGAACCTGCAGTAATTGCAGGCAGCTGGTCTTAATAACAGGGTGCTTTAGACCACTGTACTACCAAGGCTCTTTTATATTGAACCCATCTTTTGGTTATTCTGCAACCTGGTGCCTTTCAGATTGACTGGGCTACTGTTTTTGTCCATCCATTCATTCATTGGTTCATTTGTTTATTTGATATTTATGCCATGCATCTCCCCTACAAGGTGAATTTGGGTGGCTTACAGGTTCCAGATCCATGAGCAGGAAGAGGAGGGTAAAACCTGTGTAGCTGGAGCAGGAAAAGGCATTATTAAGGGCAAGTGGGGAGAGAAGATGGTGACAATGTGTGTCACTGTTGCTTCTTGTTGCATACTTGAATGAAGAACTTTCCATTGCTTCTTGTCTTGCCTTCTGGAGCTTTGGCAAACAAGTTGCCACAAAGAAGAGGGGGAGGACCTATTCTTCAAAGCACCAGAAGGCAAGACAGGAAGCAAGAGTGGAAACTAATCAAGGAGAGAAGCAACTTAAGAAATTTCCTGACAGTGAGAACAATTATCCAGTGGAATGGCTTGCCTTCAGAAGTTGTGGGTGTTCCATCCCTGGAGGTTTTTAAGAAGAGATTGGACAGCCATTTGTCTGAAAAGATATAGGATCTCTTGCTTGAGCAGGGGGTTGGACTAGAAGACCTCCAAGGTCCCTTTCAATTCAGTTATTCTGTTTGTTGATGGTGTGCCAGGAGAGTTTTGCAGAGGGGGCCACTGAGCCTGGGGACCCCAGGATGATACAGCACCCATCAAATGGTTGGTTCGATTGTTGTCACCGGAGTGGTGAGGGTTTACTGGGTTTTGTATTGGGGTTTTAGTTCTGTAAACCGCCCAGAGTCACTGTGAGTGAGTAGGGTAGCCATATTTTATTTATTTTACATCTCACTGTTACTATTTTTTATAAATAACTCAAGGCAGTGAACATATCCAACACACTTTCCTCCTATTTTCCCCACAACAACAATCTCGTGAGGTGGGTTGGGCTGAGAGGGAGGGACTGGCCCAACATACTGTATTTTTGGAGTATAAAACACACTCCCCCCCCCAACCCAAAAGTGGGCGGAAATGTCTGTGTGTGTTATACACCGAATGTTGCCGAAACTCTGCCAGCCCCCACTCTTCAGCCATTTTTGGCCTCCATGCATCGTGTTTTCTGTCTCCTCACACTCCATTTTAGACCCGTTCCAGGCTGCAGGGATTGCCACAGCACATCGCCGCTTCCGCTTGTCACGTTTTCAGCCTCCACGCATTGCATTTTCAGCCTCCACACACACTGTTTTCAGCTGGTTCCAGGCGATGGGGATTGCCGCAGCTGATCCCCGCCACCTGGAACCGGCCGAAAATGCAACATGAGAAGGCCAAAAACGCGAGCCGCGGAGGCCAAAAACATGACACGCAGTCTTGGAATGTGTTCAGGACTTAAATACAGGTAGTCCTCAATTTACGATGACAATTGAGCCTAAAATTTCCACTGCTAATCAAGACAACTAGTTAAGTGAGTTTTGCCCCATTTTACAACCTTTCTTCCCACAGTTGTTAAGTGAATTACTGCTGTTGTTAAGCTAGTAACACAGTTATTAAGGGAATTTGGCTTTCCCATTGACTTTGCTTGTTGGAAGGTCACAGAAGGGAATCATATAACCCCAGGACCCTGCAACCATCATAAATATATACCAGTTGCCAAGCATCCGAATTTTGCTCTTATCACCATGGGGATGCTGCAGCAGTCGTAAGTGTGAAAAACAGCCATAGGTCCCTTTTTTTAGATCTATTGTTAAGTTCAAACAGTCATTAAATGAATGGCTGTAAATTGAAGACTATTTGTAGAGCACTTGGGAATTAGTTGGTAGGAGATTCATTTGTGGCTGGTTTGCTTTCTTTAGATCTGTAGCGCCGGATTCTAGGAAGCTTGAAGAAGGGCAGAGCTACAACAACATGGCTAGCAAGCCCAGAAATCAAAAGCCAAGATGGAAACTGGCAGCTAAGGCATCTCAATTGAACAGACCACGGAATGTTGTTCCTTGGCAGAGCAAGGCTGAATGGGACCAAGTGATGGTGGGGCTGTATTGTGAGGACTGCCAGACACAACGAGATGCACTGGACAGAGTGTCTGTCTGGAAGAGCAGGTGAGAAGGAAGCCATTGAGGGGTTTGTGTTTACTCATCACCCTAGATGAGTTAATGACCCAATAATTCTGTTTGCATATATATTAAACTTTTAAAATTGGTTGAGATAAAGTTTTGTGATTAGTATTTTGTATGAACCCAAAACATGGGTTAGTTCCTTAATTAAGTGGTACAACTGGTATATCTGGGGAGCAAGGAGAGAAAGACTCTCCTTGCTCCCCAGAGAGGACCAGTTGATATCTTGCATTTGCAAGAGATCATTTGGATGCAAATTTATATGGAGAGGAGTTTTTGTGATAGCAGCTTGAATTTTGAATTAGAAACCCATCCCATCTCTTTGGGCAGTTCTCTCCAAACTTTCTGTACAGTGTTTTTCAAACTTGGCAACATTTGGCTGAGGAATTTTGGGAGTTTGAAGTCCACAAACCTTAAAACTGCCATGTTTGAAAACCACTGTTTTAATAGTACATTATTCTTCAACATTATTCTTTCACTGCATTAGTATAGTCCTTACCTCAGGTAGTCCTCGACTTACTGCAACATTTTGTTTCTGAGTTAAGTGAGTTTTGCCCCGTTTTATTACCTGTCCTGCCGACTTTCGGTCGGCACCGCAGGCTCCGTGGACGGTCTTTTAAGACCGCCAGCCCTGCGTCTCTGTAAAAACCGCCTTGACAGCGCAAACTGGCTGTCTGGCGGCTGAAAAACTCTCTTTCGGGAAAAGGAGAGGAGAGCCGGTGGGCAAGAGTAGAGCTCCCCGAAAGCCATCTGGAACATTTCCAGAGGCTTGGAGGGTGAGAGCTCCCCAGTCAGCCCGCCAAGAAGCTCCGGAGCCAGGACGACTCTGCAAAGGCAGAGCGAGAAGCCGCGATCCGATCCTGCTTTTAAAAGTGAGTTTGAAGATGGCGTCTTTGTTATGGTTTTGAAAGTGAAAGCCAGAAATGAAAGTGTTTGAGAACTTTGCGCTGGGAGAGTGGATTAGCTGCTTATTAACTGCTGGGAGCTGAGAGCTTGTGGAGGGAAGGAAAAAAAAAACTATTCTGCCTGGCAAATTAAAGGGTATAAATTATAAACATTTTCAAAGACTTTGTGGCTTTTAAAGATCTCCTTAAAAGAGGAGGAAAAAAAAATGGCTTCTAGACAAGTGAAACCAGGAGTTGCTAAAGGAGGGGGAGGTTCTCCAGTTGTGTCAGTGGTGACACAGAAAGCACAACTTCCGGCTGATTCGCAGAGCCAGACTCAGAGTCAAGATGCAGCACTTACTGATTTTAAAGAATTGATGAAAGAAGCCATGAATAATCAAGCAACAGCAATGAGAGAAGCTATGAATAACCAAGCCACAGCAATGAATAATTTAACATTACTTGTGGAAGGGAAATTTAAGAAAATTGAGGAGGATATAAATTCGATCAAGGAAGTGGTTGCAGAGGAACACGATAAAATAAGAGATGATATTGTTTAAAAATTTGGTGGGTGATGCAGAATATTTTGAAAAGAACGTTGAAATTTACTCCTCAATTGCTCCTACTGGGTATAACTACGGACTGTACAGTAGTAGAGACTAAATTGATTTTGAATCTAATATCAGCAGCTAGGCTGTTGGTAGCGCAATATTGGAAGAAGGACTCTTTGCCTACTATTGAGTGGATACTGAAAGTAACGAACCTAGCAGAAATGGCGAAAATCTCAGCGTACTTGAAGGACTATACACAAGAAAGATATGTATCGGAATGGAGAAGATGGATTGACTATATTCAAAATAAGTATCAGACAAGAAAATATATAGCTTATGATTGAATGTTAAGTATTAGAAATATTTAATTATCTATAGTGGAGTTAAGGTTTTGGGGGGGGGAGTTAGTAGTCTGAGGATAAGTAGCTTAATCTATTTTATGATTGCTAAATGAAATACCTTGTATTTTGTTCTGGGAAGTCTGGGGGGAGGGTGGGATGAGGGGAGGGAAAGGGCGGGGGGAATGTTGGGGGGAAGAAAATTTTTGTTTTTTGTAAAACTTTTCAATAAAAAAAAATTACCTGTCCTGCCACAGTTGTTATTACAGATGTTAAATTAGTCACATGGTTGTTAAGTGAATCTGGCTTCCCCATTGACTGCTCGTCAGAAAGTTGCAAAAGATGATCACATGGCCCCGGGTCACTACACCCATCATCAATATGAGCCAGTTGCCAAGCATTTGAATTTTGATCACATGACCGGGGTGGGTTCTACTTATCTTTACTACCGGTTTACAATGGGACTGCGCATGCGCATGCACAGAAGTTTATGCGCATGCGCATATCGCCCGTAATGTGGCGGGTGGGCGGAGCCTCCCGCCAGTTTTACTACCAGTTCTATAGAACCGGACTGAACTGGGAGCAACCCACCACTGCACATGACCTTGGGGATGTTGCAGTTGTGGTAATGTGGTCATAAGTCATTTTTTTTTTATTGAAAAGTTTTTTTTAAAAATTACACATATTTTCCCTTCCCTCCTACCCCCTCCTACCCCAACCTCCCCCCCCCGACTTCCCAGAGCAAATACAGGATATAGTATTTAACAAACATAAAAAAAAAACATAAGCTAACTATCTATAGATTTATCTCCCTTTTACACTTTAACTCCCCTTGTTTATATCTGAATATAACTATTTAAACCAATTATTGCTTGAAAGTAATCAATCCAACTTCGTTCTTGTCGGTTCTTCAATAATAAGCAAGTCTTCTTTCTTCCAGCATTGCTCAATCAGAGCCCAATTACAATTAACCATCACATCTCCAACCCCTACATATATTAACACATTAACAAAATATTTTAACCAATCTCAAATAAATTATATTGTAAAAACCTTATTTTTACTTTTTACCCCATAAACTTATATTGATTCTTCCTGGAAACATTCCTTACTTAATAGTTTTACATAAACTTATTCATCTTATTCTCTACAAATCCACTGCGTATAATCAAATAACATCTTCACTATTTGATATTTATAAAAAATATTGTAAAAACCTTCCCTCAATCCTTGCACCACTTATATTTTCCTTATAACCCACAAGTTTATATTTATTCTTCAACAAAACATTCTTTAATATAGTATTAGTGTAACTTAAAACAAAATATAAAAGTTTAAGTAATATCCTTCTTCTAACCCATAAGCTTATATTAATTGATCTGCACTGTCCATAATTTTTACATCCCCAATTTATATAAATTTTTCAACAAAGCATTCCTTGAAATATAACTTTAGTGTTAATATACTTCAGGACAAAAGTGAAAATTTGGTCAGTAGCCCATAACAATTCAAACGTAACATTACTTAACATAACTTTTCAAAACAGATCATATCCCTAAATACAGGTATAGTCATTCATTTTCACTACTACTATCCTCCCCAGGCAAAAAGGTTGTAATTTTTCCATCTCCATTTTTTCCTGACTTTTTTGCGAACCTCCTTCTTCAGTCTTATTCCTCCGCCTTCTTTTATTTTTATAAGTTTTTGAGTTTTCAGCTGAAGTTGCTGTACCTTACAATCTTGTTCTCTTCGCAAAGTAATTCCTTTCAGTAAACACACCTCTTTAACTGCGATTGAGAGTCCATTTTTATAAAAAAATTGTAAAGTTCCACTTCGAATCCTCCTTCTTATATTAGAAATCCCAACACCTCCTGACAATTTTCCAGTTGACTGTATCAAAGCCTCTGGAGAAATCTCTCTCAGTATTTCCTGGTTACACTCCTTCAAACTTCTCAGCCTTTCCTTCTTAATTTGAAAAACATCCATTCCATTTTCCAAAGGCACATTAAACTGGATTGTTTCTTCCACCTCTTCATTCAGCAACTCACTATTATTTGGCAACTGAAATACCGATACAGTATCTTCACTTATAACTTTGTTTCGAACTTGAATAAAATCCTTGTTGAAAAACCCTTCCATTCTTTCCAACATGGAGGTAAATGATTCTAAAATTTCTTTAAAGAGATCCACAATCAGTATTTGTGTATTTACTGATGTTTGTAATAGTGAGCCTTCATCACTTTCAAAAAAGCCAGCCATTTTTTTTTTCCCATCCACCTTGAACAATGCTGGGTGTTAACAGCTTTATCGAGAGTTAACTTTCACTTTCACACCCTATTAAGCACAAGCGCCATTTTCTTCACTCCTTTAAGCAGCTTCAAAAAGTATCAACTTAAGCGTGGAATTAAGGGTTTGTTACTTGCAATTGTCTGCTCTTCTGTCTTCACTCCGTCTGCTTAGATAATCAACTTAGATCTCAGTAAAGATTGCAGAAGTGGTCGCGACGTTTTTTTCTGCTTAAAGCAGAAGCGCCCTGGATCTCGGAGTTTCATTGGACTTCCTGGGGAGCTCTCACCCTCCAAGCCCCCAAAACTATTTCAGGGGCTTTCGGGGAGCTCTACCCCCATCCGATTGCTCTCCTTTCCCTCTTCTCCCGGGGGAAAGATTTTCCAGCCACCAGACAGCTGATTTGCGCTGTCAGGGCGGCTTTACAAGATCACAGGGCTGGCGCTCCGAGAGAGAGCGTCCAGCAACATTGGCGGTGCCACCGGAAGTCGTAAGTCATTTTTTTTAATGCTGCTGTAACTTTGAACGGTCATGAAATGAAAAGTTGTAAGTCAGGGACTACCCATAATAGGTATTCAAGGATTCGATGTCTTGGTTATTTATTTGCCAGATATATTCAACTTTGTAAATATTTTTCCCCTTAGAAGCTCTTTACCTATTAATTTTGGGTACAGAGAAATCCAATGAATTCCTGATCATTGCAGAATACTTTGGGGTTTACTGATTGCTGTTCAGCACTATTGTGGACTGTTGGCTCCCAAAATGAGCTCTGTGTCTAAGAAAGCCCTTCATCTCTGCTGCAGAGAGAAACTCTTTCAAAAACACTGAACTTCCACAGTTGATGTTCTCATTAAAGATGCTTCTAATCTCAAAAGGTGTTCTAGGTCTGCTATAGAAGGGACATACCGGTAAATATTTAGATATTTTAATTGTAACGGATTTTAGTTGGGATGTTTTAAATCTGGGCCAAAATTTGTTTAATTCCTTTAATAATTTTAAATTTTGTATTGGATGTTTTTTATTCTTGGCTGTTCACCTGTTCTGTCCCCGTCTCCACACACACACAAACACAGTCAGCCGAGGGTTAAGAAAGCACTTGGCACGCACACAGGTTGTTATCTAAAACTTGGCAGCTATACGAGCATCGACTGCCAAGGGCTTTACTTCATCAGATAAACAGAAAAATACATACAAATTGCAAATAGTCCAGTTCAAAACAAGGAACCTTCGGCAGATTTAGGCGTTGTTCAAGTGATTAGCCAGAGTTAGTTTTTGTCCGTCACAGAGTCTTAAATGGCCACCACCCTCTCTTATATAGTCTCTGGGGTGTGGTCCAGTGACTCAGTTATAATCCCTGGCACGCCTCCTTAACTGCTGCAACCGTTTATCACGCCTTCGTTGACGTGGATCCAGGAACGACAGATCACCTCCCTCGCTTTCATCGGAGACACCTGGCTCCTGGCTAATCTCCTCTTCCTTGGCCGGCACTTGAGGCAATGCCAGAGGGGAGGGGCCCGGAGAGGGTGGCCTGGCCGACTCCTCTTCTTCATGTTCGGAGCCTCCTTCCTCCAATGAGATAGGCTCGGAAGGCGGGGCCACAACATCACCGCCCTGAGTCCAGCAGGAGAAGGGCGGTATAAAAATTTAATAAAATAAATAAATTAATAAAATAAAATAATAATAATAATAAATCACTGCATGCAGAAGATCATAATGTTACTGTGTTTCACTCTGAAATTAGATTTGGGTCCAAGATGCCTTTAGCTGTGGAATGCACTGCAGATCTGATCCGCTGTAAGCTCCTAGATGCTGCTGGAATTCTGAAATCCCATGAACTGATCCTGACATATGGGCTGGCACTGGTGAGGTAAGGGTTGTGAGAAAGAGGGAACAAGCTTCTTACAGAAGCTGCTGTGTAAGATTTATTGGAGAGTCTAGGAAAGAGATAGTTGCATTTTTACAGAAAGATTTTTTTTCTACCTCTAATGAAAGCAGCTTCTGAATTCTGAAAAGTTTTTCTTTAAAGACACTTTCTTAAAAACTTTGAGCAAAGAACATATTGAAAAACAACAGGAACCTACGTGGGTTCTTCAAACCCAGTCTTTTTTCTGCTAGTAAATGTTGACAATGAACTTACATTTGTAGATGTTCTATAAATGTATTCATTGTCAATGTCTTCTGCAAGTAACCAGATGTTTACTTTACTCTTCTTCAGATACCAAATGTCCTCTTTACTAATAGCCTTGTCCTAATCTGAAATGGCAACAAACTCTTTTCTAAAGCTGTCTTTAGTTCTGTAAAACAAAGACCTTATCACAAAGATTAGACGGAGCAGTGGGCAGTTTAAGCGATGCCAGCAAACTATTGAACATATACTTAGCTGCAATGAAACTATTTTCTAGTCTGAGCTGCTTATAGTTATGCTTTCTTGAATTACCATATTTTTCAGAGTATAAGACACACCTTTTCCCCCCCAAAAAGAGGGTGTAAATCTGGGTGCGTCTCGCCCAGCTTCTCAAACAGAGGTTTCAGAGGCTGAAAAAAGCATCAGAAACGAAGCTTCAGAAAAGAAGCCCCCAAACAGAGTTTCAGAGGCTTTTTTTCTGAAGTTCTGTTTCAGAAGTTTCAGAGGCAGGAAAAAAAGCAAGGCACAGAGCTCACAACCAAGGAACCTGTTGCTAAAATTCATCTCTGGGGACAGCTGATTGGGTGTATTCTGGGAGGCTGATCCATCTGCCAATCAGCTTTTTTCTTATTTTCCTCCCCAAAAACTAAGGTGTGTCTTATACTCCGAAAAATACGGTAATAGATGTTAAGTAGTTATTTCATGTGCATTGTTAAGTCATTTAATTGAAAACATACAAGTTTTGTTTCATGAGCATTATTGCTTCAGGTGGTAGCTGAATTGTTATTCTGCATTGTTCTGAATATTATATTGCTTGTCTCTGGGCTCACAAAATTGTTTTAAAACATACATGAAAAAGAAAACTCAAAGATGACAAGAACCGAATGAAACAGAAACAAACCCACACTGTCTACTGTAAGGGGCTTCATTCTTGCCAAAGCCCTGGATAAAGAGTCAGATCTTCAAGCCCTTTCAAAACACCAAAGAATGGAACCATCAGATCTTGGGGGGGAAACCTCATTCTAAAGGGCAGACATGCTTCTGGGGTCCCCAAGAATTGACATTGTTTAATTGAAGAAACCTGGAGCACGCCAGCACTGCCAATTCAAATTGGCAAAGCAGATACTATGGGAGACAGGCAGTCCCTCAAATAACCAGCTCCTCTGCCATGGATCATAATGAACAATTAATTTTAAGATAGTGGCTGAAGGCTGGGAGGATTCTTATTTCTGGGTTTGATTCGGGTTCAAATGATATTCTCAAACACAAGTTGTATCTGAAATCATTCAATACTTCTATCACCCACAGGTTTGTGAATCTCATCACCGAGCGGAAGCAGAAAATGGTTACCGTTCCACTGAGACATCTAGCAAAAGAGGTATAAGAGGTTTGAGTTTATTAAGCTCTGGGAGCTGTGAAATAATTGCATTGCTTCCATTTCTGATTTTAATAATCGTTTGGTTCTTGCTCCAAGCTGAACATCCCAATCTGGATTGTGGATCTCCGTCATGACCTAACCCACGGCACCCTTCCCCAGCTGGTGACTTGCCGAAAAGGTAAGAGGATTTTTTTTTTTATTCTGATGAAGTTAACTTGGTGGTGCAGTCTTTAGAATGCAGTTATTGCAGACTAACTCTGCCCACTGCCAAGAGTTTGATCCTAACTGGCTCAAGATTGACTCAGACTTCCATCCTTCTGAGGTTGGTAAAATGAGGACCCAATTTATTGAGGGCAATATGCTGACATTGTACACTGCTCAGAGAGTACTGTAAAGCACTATGGAGCTGTATATAAGTCTAAATGCTATTGCTAGTACTATGCAATTAGTAATTGCAAACAGCCAAGCTCAAAGAGCACCACTGTTCAACCTGGAGCTACATATAGGTAGTCCTTGACTTACGACCACAGTTGAGCCCAAAATTTCCATTGATGAACAAGACAGTTGCTAATTGAGCTTTGCCCCAATTTACAGCCTTTCTTGCCACCTTTGTTAAGTAAATCACTGCAATTGTTAAGTTACCGTGTTTCCCTGAAAATAAGACCCTGTCTTATATTTTTTGGAACCCTGAAATAAGTGCTTGGCCTTATTGCCATGTGCTCAAAAGCCCAATTAGGCTTATTATCAGGGGATTTCTTATTTAGTAGTAGTAGTAGTAGTAGTAGTAACATGATTGTTATATGAGTCTGGCTTCCCCATTGACTTCACAAGACCCTGGGACACTGTAACCATCATAAATATGAGTTAGCTGCCAAGTGTCAAAATTTTGATCACATGACTGTGGAGCTACTGCAATGGTTGTAAAGTATGAAAGTATGTATGAAAAACAGTCAAGTCACTTTTTTCAGTGCCATTGTAACTTCAAATAGTCAAAAGATGAATGACTGTAAGTCAACCAATCTGCTCATAACATTCTTTTTGTATTTTGAGCCTGACACTTCCAAAAATAATTAAAACAGTACTTCCTGCTCTTAAAACAGGCTGTTCCAGCTCTAAAGCAGCTGCAACTATTTCAACACGTTCACTCCTTTCCTCTTAGAATATTCACTTAAAAACAATAAATGCAGAAACAAAGGCAATGTTCCCTTGCTTCGCCATGAAAGCCAGCTCATTCTCAGTCCAACCCATCTCACAGAGTTATTGTAAGGAAAATAGGAGGAGGAAGGTGTGTTGGATATGTTCACCACCTTGAGTTATGGAAGGAAGGAAGGAAGAAGGCCAAAAGACCCAGCTAAAGGCAGTTTATTCCTAGAATAGCTTCCTGAGTAACAGCTACCTGAGTAAACAAGCATATAATCAGTACATTTTTTAAAAAAAGATGAGGGGCAGGTCAGCTCCAAGTTCCTGTATACCTGGGGTGTCAAACTTGTGTTGTCATGATGGCGTCACATGACGTATCAGCAAAGTACCCCTTTGCTAAACCAGGTGTGGGCATGGTCAGTGTGTGATGCATCTGGCCCGCGGGGCGGCGAGTTTGACAGACCTGTTGTATACATTTGTTATTTGATGCGATCCTTAGTGCTTCCTCCAGGTGGTGATGTTGCACTGCAGGGAGCAAATACTACTGTCCCCAGAGGATACATAACTTTCAATCTGCTCTGTAAGTGGTGACTTGTTTGGAAAAGGTTTTAAGCATATAGCATGAGCAAGGGAATAGAAATGTCTCACTCTTCAGGGTGGAAGGAAAATGCAGAATGCTTCTTTCTGCTCCAGATAAGATTTCTCCTCTAGAAGAGTGGAATTGTACCTTTCAGCATGTCTCTGGAGGAAGGGATCTGGAGAAAGCTGTTCCAGATCGTTTGCAGAAATCCAGGTTTTTTTCTCTTACATTTCCAAAAATGGGGTCTTTGCAAACACTGTTTATTTATCTGATTATTTTTATCCTGCCTTTATTATTTTATAAGTTACACAGAGCAGCAAACATACATAATACTTTCTTCTTTTTCCCTTTTTTCCCCCCACAACAGCAGCCTTGTGAGGTGAGCTAGGCTGAGAGATTGGCTGTCCCAGTCACCCAGCCAGCTTTAATACCTAAGAAAGGACTAGAATTCACAGTCTCCTGGTTTCTAGGCTAGCACCTTCACCGCTACACCAAACTGGCTCTCTTTTCTCTTCTCTTCTCTTCTCTTCTCTTCTCTTCTCTTCTCTTCTCTTCTCTTCTGCCAGGTTTAATGCTTAGATCAGGGAACTGAGGAAATAGTTTGTAGTAGATAAGGGAATAGTAAATAACCGTGAATGCTCTGTGGTTTTACTAATGGCTGTGTGAGGTTGTATGAGTGGATGCAGTAATTTTGCTGCTGATGGTAGAAGTGAAGGTTAAGTCAGTGTTTCTACTTTGGCAAAAAGTCTATGGATATTCTCAGTCATCCAGGTCATGGTTGTCCCAAAAGTAGCTCTGGTGGCTCAGCAGACTAAAGCACTGTTATTAACATCCACTTACATCTGCTGCCTGCAATTACTGCAAGTTCAAATCTCACCAGGCTCAAGGTTGACTCAGCCTTCCATCCTTTCTAAGGTAGGTAAAATGAGGACCCAGATTATGGGGGCAATAAGATGACTTTGTATAAATATACAAAAGTATGAAGGCTATTGCTTAACGCATTGTAAGCCGCCCTGAGTATCCGGAGAAGGGCGGCATATAAATCAAATTTTTTTTAAAAAGGTGCTTTTTCAGGACGCAACTGGACTTCCTTGTTTTTTCTTTAAAGATGTTTCGCTTCTCATCCAAGAAGCTTCTTCAGCTCTGACAGGATAGTGGGGGATGGAAGGATTTATATTCCTTGCAGACAGCTGGTCATTTACATTCTTTTACAGAGTTGTTGAGGCCACTTGGAGGTTTGTCTGTGTCCTTAGGGTCACCTGAATAGAGCAAACGGTGCGAAGCCTTCTTGGCTGCCAGATGTTTTCTGCTCTGTGTCCTTTCACTGTTGAAGACAGGTGCAGGCTGTTGGGGATGAGTCTTATGTTGTTTGCATCTCAAACTGAAGTGCCAATGGTTCCTTCTTGGCTCTCTAAAATAATGCAAACAACCAGCTGTCTGCAAGGAATATAAATCCTTCCATTCCCCACCATCCAGTCAGTCAGACCTGAAGAAGCTTCTTGGATAAGAAGCAAAATGTCTCCAAGAAAAAAGGAAGTCCAGTTGCCTCCTGAAAAAGCACATTTATTTATTTATTTATTTATTTATTTATTTATTTATTGGTTCGATTTACATGCCGCCCTTCTCCGGAGACTCAGGGCGGCTTACAATGCGTTAAGCAATAGCCTTCATACTTTTGTATATACCTGCTTAGTAGGGCTTTTGCCCCCCCCCCCCCCCCCCGCCGCCAAGCAGTGTTCTTTTTATACAAAGTCAGCTTATTGCCCCCACAATCCGGGTCCTCATTTTACCTACTTCGGAAGAATGGAAGGCTGAGTCAACCTTGAGCCTGGTGAGATTTGAACTCGCAATAATTGCAGGCAGCTGGCAGCTAAGTGCTACTTAACAGCACTTTAGTCCGCTGCACCACCAAGGCTCTCTTGGCAACTTGCATGGAATTCTGGGAGTTGAAATCCAAATGATGAAGCTTCTTGGATGAGAAGCGAAATGTCTTCTTCCTCAAGGAAAAAAAAATCCAGTTGCCTTTTGAAAAAGCATCTTTGGGATAACTATTATCTTGTCTATTTTTAATAGTGCTATCCTTTCTTCTCTGCAGGTTGTGATACCGTGCTGGACTGGCTGAGGCGCTCATATTGGAGCTGCCAACTGGGCAATAATTTAGTTGAAGAAGGTGAGGAGGAAACTGAAGAATCATCAGAAGCGGATGGTGAAGATGAGATGGTCAGCAGTCAAGAAGATCCGGAGAAGACACCAAATGAGCAGAAACACCAGGAACTCTGTGGTAGGTGTATTCAGATCTGTTGTTTCTTCTTCTGCACTTAATGTTTTTCTAAAGGATTTTTTTTTTCAATTTCTTTCCCCCAGGAAAAGTCAGAGATGTTTTGACTTCATTTAAAAATCAACAACTTGAGGTAAGCTCTGTAGATTCCTAATCAGACTAGCAATTTTTGTTTCCATTGAAAATTCTTCGAATGATTAAAGTATAAGTGAAAAAAATAAAGTATGAATTCAAAGTGTTTTGCTTTGATTAAAATGTTATAGTTTGGACTTTCTGATGCAAAGACAAAGTAAAGTCTCCTGATTCACTACATGTAGTCCTCAACTTGCAGCCAGTTGCTTAGCAACCATTCAAAGTTCCAACCTACCTGAAAAAAAAGGACTTACGATCTGGATTCAAAGATCTTACTGTCACGCAGACACAGTCACATGACCACACTTTGAGTGCTCCGCAACACAGCTGCCTATGCCAGGGGTATCAAACTGGCGGCCCAAAGGTTGGATGTGTCACGTGCAGGCCATGCTCCGTAAAGGGAAAAAAAGGTTGTGAGACATCGCAATATGTCACGTGACTCGATCTAGTTTGACACCCATGGCCTATAGAGTCATTTGCAATGTCCCATATTTTTTATAGTGGTTTTGCTAAAAACCAGCACTTCCAATTTTGGGCAAAACTACATCTGCGGCAAACAATAGGCACTTAACAACCATAGAATTTGCAGGAAAAGGGTAAAATCAGATTGTCATGTGCCCATCATGACATATAAGTGTAATGGCAGGCTCTACTATGGTTGTATGTCGTGGATTTCCCGATACTTCTTCCAATCTTCCAATGTATCTTCCAATGTTTCCTGGGATTGGAATAAGTGAGTTCAGAGAATGTCCCAAAGGTGTTTTTTCCAGGAAGCAACTGGACTTTCTTGTTGTTGCTTTTTTTGAAGACATTTCATTTCTCATCTAAGAGAAGTGGGGAAGCAATCCTGTGAGAGCTGAAAAAGCTTCTTGGCTGAGAAGCAAAACATCTTCAAAGAAAAAATAAGAAAGTTCAGTTGCCTCCTGAGAAAAGCATCTTTGGGACAACCATGACCTGGATAACTGAGAATCTCTACAGAAGTTCAGAGAATGATTTTTTTTGTTCAGGAAGCTACAGTTAGAATATCTGTGGAGATTCTCAGTCATCCAGGTCATGGTTGTCCCAAAGGCATGCTTTCAAAAGGCAACTGGACAGGGAGGAGTCAAAAGAAGAAATGCAGAAGGAAGAAGACAAAGAGGAGAACAATGAAAATAATAGTGATTGATGGGGGAAAACATATTTAGAGTGTTGGAAGATATGTTTGAAATGGAGGCACGGGCCTTGGTAGAAATTTTAGAAACTAGGCAGTGGAAGAGGGTAGTGGTTGGAGGAACACTTAGATTGGACATCCAAGAACTAGATATAGACAGAGATTTTAAGAGGAATGTGGGAGGCAAGTCAAAAAAAAGCATAGCAATTAAAGTTTTGAAGCAGGCAAGAGACGATGGGTAGATTATTTTCATCTTTATTGTTGTTCCGATTCGCTTTTCCTTTTTCCTCTTTCTTTTAAAGCATAGCAATCAAAATATGAAGTGGGCAAGAGATGATGGATGGATGATTCCTCTTTTTTGTTGCTACTCTGAGTTGCCTTTCCCTCTCTCTCCCTTTTTTCCCCCTTTTTTTAGGCAGGTGACATGATTAGAAGTTAGACAGGAAAGAAAGAAAAAGCTTTTTAATAAAGGGTGACATGATTAAAAGCTAGAATAAGTGATAGAAATAAAGGGAATATTTATGTATACATTTTTATTTGATAAAATGAAAGTAATGAGAAATAAGTGGAATAATTGAATAATGATAGACTGTAACCTAATATAGATGTATATTGTTATTAGAAATAAGTTGATTGAATGTAATAATAATGCTTAATCTTATCAGTTTCATTTGTATTAGAATGTATGGTGCCCAGATGCCACGCTGTTCACACATTGATTTGACATTTTTATAAAAAATAAAAAAATAAAAAACTTGAGGGGGGAAAAAGGCAACTGGACTTTCTTTGTTTTTCCTTGAAGAGGTTTATATTATAATTTATATTCCTTGCTGCTAATGATCAGATAACTTTAAGGGATATAAATCCTTCCATTCTCCACCATTCAGTCAGAATTGAAGAAGCTTCTTGGATGAGAAGTGAAATGTCTTCAAGGAAAAACAAGGAAAGTCCAGTTACCTTTGGTTAAAAAGACATATAGAGCAGCTAAATGGTTCAAAATTGGAAGAGGGGTGTGGATATTTTCCCACTGTCCATTTAATATATGCAGAATATATCAAGAAAGGTGCTGGATTAAAAGAAATTGGAATTAATATTGCTAGGAGTAATATCAACAATCTGATATATGTTGTTGGACACACAGAAAAGGAATCTCTTGAAGGTGAAAGAAATGAATGTCAACCTCAGTCTGCTGCTCAATAGGGTTGTTGTTTTTTTTTTTTTTTTTTTAGAAAACCTTAAGTTCATGTCAATAGGCAATGCCAACCTAATGCAGAGAGTCAGAGAGTTGAAATAATAGTAAGTTCAAAAATTCTTAGGAATGGTGAGTAGAGCCGTGAAATAAAGAGGTGTTCTTGCCTGAGATAAAGGCTACAACAGATCTAGATTGAAAATTAAGGTACATGGACATCAAACCAAAAACAAATGTATATAAGGTTTTCCCCACAAATGAAGGTGAATATGCATGTCCCAGGATAATGTTGCAGGATCCAATCAGAGTCAGTCACTGGGACCAGAGGTTTACTCTTCCAAGCTTTTGGACTCGTGCTGGAGCCCAGAGGGAATTTCTAGCAGAATGTGTGTTTTGGGCTATTCTATGTTCCTTGATGATAGGCTCCAGCTCAGAAGACTAAACCTCTGGTCCCCGTAACTGACCCAGATGGATCCTTCAAGGTTTTCCCCAGCTACAAAAGTAGTGTTCTGCCCCACCTCTGGATTTCCGAGGATATTGATACACACCAACGGTCCTTATCAAATTTATTAAGTAGCAAGAATAAACAAGACCAGCAAAGGTTGGCAACCAGCCCAGAAAACAAGGTATGATAAATCAAAATACTCTGATAATAATACGAGTTGTTTCCAGCAAGAACGCACTAGCTGCGTGTGACTTAAATAGGCTAAGGGAGTGGCCAATTATCCTCAAGCCCTACTCTCGAGGAGACCTCCTCCTCCTGAGTGGCCACTCCTGCCTTTTGGCAGCCCTGCGTGCTCAAGCATTGAGAAGAGGCTCCTCCACTTCGCTCTCTCCACTTGAAGGAGCCTCTGGAGGTTCTGAAGACTCTGGCTGAGTCTCTGCCTCTGGCACCACATCCTCTTCGGCCTCTTTGCTGTCCGACGTGGACACCGGCTGTGCAGGCTGCTGGCACAACAGCCTCCTCGTCGGGATCAGCCACGATCCGCGCAGGCCGCTGGTGGGCCACAACAAATAGCTTTAAAAGCTGGGACATCAGAAACACTAAAAAAACCTCATGTTGGTCTTGAAGTGCCGTGCTGGTTGAGAATATCTTGAACCTGGAGAACATGAGATGCTAAACACACTGATGGTTGGAAGCTTTTTGCAAAACTAAAGCATGCATCAGGTAAAGGCATGAGTCCCTGGAAAAACATCCTTATGCTTGCAGAAATGGAAGACTAGATGGAAAGATGCCATCACTGAGAACATAAAGCAGTGTTTTCAAAAAATCAAAGTGACTGACAGTCCTGGTAATTTAAGTTTCTTGGACACAGAGAAGTGGCAACAAAAGTAATGTAGGGCTACCTGTATTAAACTAATACAGGTAGTCTTCAACTTACGACCATAATTGAGCCCAAAATTTCTGTTGCTAAGACAGATATTTGTTAAGTGAATTTTCCCCCATTTTATGACTTTTCTTGCCACAGTTGTAAAGTGAATCACTGCAGTTGTTATGGTAGTTATGTGGCTGTTAAGTGAACCCGGCTTCCCCATTGATTTTGCTTGTCAGAAGATCGCAAAAAGTAATCACCTGATCCTGAAACACTGCAACTGTCATAAATATGAGTCAGTTGCCAACCATTTGAATTTTGATTATGTGACCATGGGGATGCTGCAATGTGAAACACTGTCATATGTCACTTTTTGCAGTGCTATTGTAACTGAATGGTCACTGAACGAATTGTTGTAAGATGAGGACTATCTATTTGAATTTTAAATGGACCGTCGTGTTACAAATATGCACACCTACTGATAATTTGTACAGTCTGTTTTTATTCTCTTTGAACCAGATTTATATTTATTTTGAATAGTTATGTGTACAGATGTTTTATCCTTTCTGATTTCTTCCCGTTGTCTTTTCTATTCCTAACCTGGTTGATTGTTGGAATCAACAGTTTTTCCAAGTTGGTTGTCATAATGACTTACATCATGTCCGTAAGGCAGTTGGCTCAATTCACATATAACACTAGGCCCCAAACAAACTGTTTTAGTGAATCTAGCCAGTCCCGTCCATTAGTTGATGTGCTACTTCTTCATTCTTGCCTTAGGTTCTCAGGCAACAGCCAGATGTCAACCAAGCCTGTAAAATATGGAGCATAGCTACTTCAGAGGTGGAATGGGTTGTGGCCCAAATGAAAGATTTATTACAAGAGAACAGGTAGGTCGATTTCAACACTCAAGAATTTCTGAGTCAGCCATAACAATCTCCCTTGTGGTTTTGTTAAACATCCCTGCAAGTAAAAATCTTACTGAAGTCTTGTCTAGTTGTGTCTTCTCCTTTTGTGCTGCTCCCCCCCCATAAAAAAAGGGGGGGATTCAGAGAGTGCTGATTGAAGCAGTAGAGACTGTTTTATCCTCAAAGCCTGGATATCTATACAGGAAGAGGTAGATTCCTATTTAAGGCTAGGATGCCAAATCCACTCTGAATATCTGGCTGACTGAGCAACCAACTATAATAATAATGTTGGGGAGTAAAAGGGTATTTGTAATTGGAAGATCCTGGAAAATACTCATTGGGCTTTACAATTCCTATAGGGAAGTTGTGGCTGAGACATTGCTCGAAGACGGCTTTCTCATTCCAACCGCTGACACTGTGCAGATCTTAAATATTCCTCAAGGTTGGTATATCAAGTTGCTTTTTTTCCTTGGTTCTCCAACCATTGCCTGTTCAAAACCTGTGCAGATTACCTGCACTGGATCCTGGCAATCGATTTAGTTGCCTGTGGCCATTCCATTCAAACACTCAAAGTGATTATTAGGACTGGTTTGTCAAGAGCCTTGGTAGTACAGTGGTCTAAAGCACCCTGTTATTAAGAACAGCTGCCTGCAATTACTGCAGGTTCGAATCTCTCCAAGGCTCAAGGTTGACTCAGCCTTCCATCCTTTCTAAGGTAGGTAAATTGAGGACCCAGATTGTGGGGGCAATAAGCTGACTTTGTATAAATATACAAAAGGATGAAGGCTATTGCTTAACGCATTGTAAGCCGCCCTGAGTCTCCGGAGAAGGGCGGCATATAAATCAAATAAAAAAAAAAAAAGATAAAAACCAAAGCTATGAAACTTCAAATTGGTAGGATTTCCAGGGCTAAAAAGAGATTTTGACTGACTTTCTAAAGATATGGGTTTTAATTTTAATTTAATCATCTGAAACTACCAAAAGCTCTTTACCATATGCCAGATCAGCAGGACTCTGATAATGGAGCACGTTCAGAAAAGTTTCTTCTGCAGGTTTTAACTTTCAGACAGTTTGGAAGAGAGAATGATGGTCCCTTGGGTAACATCTCAAATAATAGAAAGAAATCATGATCTATATTGGGGTGTCAAACTCAAGGCCTGTGGGCCATCCTGGAAACTCTTAAGAGTCTGGCCCACGTCACTTCGGCCCAGCCCACGCCATCCCGGCATGTGTGCGTACGCACAGGCCCAGTTCTCCTCAGATAATTCTGGGCAGGTGGGGCAACTCTGCACCCCCTGCCTTGCTTTGTCCTCCACCACCGCTGCCTTGCTTCGTTCTTCGTCACTTCTTGCTCACTGCTGTAACCTAGCAGGAGGCTGAGCAACTGCTGCAACAGCCACAAAGCGAGGCAGTGGGGGGTGGGGGGGTGGAGTACAAAGCAAGTCTGGGGGTACAGAGCTGCCCACCCCCATGGCCTGCACCGGCTTACCTGAGCTCCCCGTCAGCTAGGCACTGAAGCACCGCAACTGCCACCGCAACAAGACACAGAGGAGGGGGGCTCTCCAAACTCTGTGTGTGTGTATGAGAGAGAGCGAGCGATCCCTGCTTCAGTTGGGGTATTCAAACTGCTGGGGGGGGGGGCAGGAGCCACCTGAGCAGCCGTTTTTCTCCCCATCCTCCCCACTCAAGCAGCAGTGGGCTCTGCGGGACAGCAAGGTCTCTCATTCTCCCCTGGCGTGGCGAACTCCAGCTTCAGTCAGGGCATTCAAGTGGCTGGTGGCGGAAGCCATGATTGCCCCCTCCCCAACCAGCTAGCCAGCTAGCACCACCTGACCTGTTCCCTGCCTGGCCAGCCAATGCAAAGCCTCACCATTCTCGTTGTCCTCGTCCTCTCCTTTCAGCAGTGGGACAGGGTCTCATTCCTGCCCCAGCACAGCGAACTCCGGATGTGGGCATGAAGCCCTGCAATGCTGAAGGCTGAATGAAGCCTTCAACTGAGTGAGTAAGTACTGTGGGGTCAGGCCCTTCACAGCTGTGTCCAGCCCGCCAGAGTTCACTGTACTGGGGCAGGAATGAGACCCTGTCCCACTACCGCTTGGGCGGGGAGGACGACCAGGAGGAGGAGGAGGAGAACAGCGATGTCTTGTGCTGGCTGGTCAGGCAGGGAGCAGGTCAGGCAGTGATTGCTGGCTAGTTGAGGAGGGGGCAATCATTGCTGCCCCCTGCAACTTCAATGCCCTGACTGAAGCAAGGATCACGTGCTCTCTCTCTCATACACACACACAAACTCTCTCTCTCTCCCTCCCTCTCTCTCTCTCTCTGGAAAAAGAAGGGAAGGAATGAAGGGAAGGAAGGAAGGAGATTATAATGAGAGAGAATGAGGGTCTGAGGTAAATCCTGCCTTAGCACTTGGCCACCAGCAGCTCTGCTGCCTTTGGTTCCCCTCCTCCTGACCTCTCCTGGTGGTCTCCCATCCTATCACTGAGGATGCTTTGGTTACAGAGCTGGGTCTCCTTGTAAGGAGATGGAGTGGGCCTCCCTCTGACCCACACACTTTTCCCTCCTGCACATACCATGAGCAACCTGGCCAAGGAGAGCGAGCACAGCAGCAGTGGGATCTGGCCACGCCCACCATGGCCATGCCCCCACCACAATCCTGATGCGCCCCTCAATGAAATTAGTTTGACACCCCTGATCTACATAGTGAAAAATGAGCTCATACTAGTGAAGAATTCAAAAATTCAAGGAAAGAGTAATCACTGAGATTGGTTGGGGTCTATGCCGTCTGACCCCCCAGTCATCCTGAATTATTTTTACAGTTACAACTCTTTTAAATTTTTTATGTTCCAAGAAAATGTTTGCCCAAGGGCCTCATCTATTTTATTTTTCTTGCCCTTTTTAAAATAGTAGCCACGTATTTGTTGGGGTTTGTCCTTACACTTCTTTCTCTCTTTAAAACTGGGAATATTTATTACGTTTGTATTTCCTTGGCCCCCAAGGAATTAATATCAAAAATTAATTTTCTAACCTTTAAGGGTTAGAAAATTGGGTATTGGGTATTGTTGTTCATATATAATATTCAGTTTCTATTTTCCTTCCCTGCCCCTCTTTTGCCTTGTTGTTTGGAATGTAGAAACTCACAAGTGGGATTTTAAGATGCCTCGAGCATTTCTTCGTTTCTGGCAGCCCCTACTGAGAGGTTTGCACTCCAGACATTTCACTCAGACTCTTTTGGAGAAAATGTTTGATGATTTGAAGGCCCACGCAAGGATCGCATCACTTCGGTCTCAGTACCTCATCAACTGGATCACAAAAATTCTGAAGGCTAACTTGCGAGTTAGTAAGTATTGGGAGGTGTTCAGACAAGATTTAAATTTTCACCTTGGCATATCTTCTCTTTATCAGTGTGAGGACTGATGAAAAACATAATTAGGGGACGAGAAAAATTATTAGCAGAAAAACAGGTTGCGTGATGCTCTAATGAAGGCTTTTGTATTCTGCAAAAATATATCCTCACCTATAAAATGCATGAAAATACTAAAACTTAAAGTAAGGTGTAATTTAGCAAAGATGTAAGATACCATTCTTTGCAGTGATCCTTACCAGGACAGGAATCGAGCAAAGGGTGCATTAAACACCAGTACATTTTGTGAATATGTTTGTGGTATTTTTATCAGATTTGTGAAGCAGGCTGTGTTCTGAAAGCTTGTCTTGAAAGTCAACAACAGCTTTCCAGATTCTGTTGTGATCACAACCAAGTCTGTCCTTTGGCTGCAGATTAAATATGTTGAGAGAGCAAAGAAATGGGTGAGTCTAATGGCCAGCAATGTGTTTTGCAGGGCCAGGGTATCATTATCATTGTTTGGGTTCCAGATAACTGCAGAACACAAAAGCCATCACTAGAGACGTTGAGGACTACATGTATACGTAAAAAGAGAGCAGTCTGAACACTGAACATGCTTTGGAAAACTTTCACTATTGTTCAATTTAAGCTGCCAATCCATAAAATTGTGATCAACTGTTTGTATCAGTTGAAAGTTGGACATTCACAGCACTAGACTGAAGTGTTGAAGTCTAGTTGGTAGTTCAGTATGTTGCCCTCAGTGTAGTTGTGTTGTGCGAACCCTAAGTAACAGCCATGATTAACTGAATAAATCGTTATTGAAACACAAAAGTGAATTTCTATGGAGATTCTCAGTCATCCAGGTCGTGGCTGTCCCAAAGGTGCTTTTTCAAAAGGCAACTGGACTTTGTTTTTCCTTGAAGACGTTTTGCTTCTCATCCAAGAAGCTTCTTCAGTTCTGAAGAAGTGCACAGTATGAATGCCAGACTGGACATGGATCCAATGCATCAGCTTTGGTCAATGAACATGCTTCTGTCTCCTTCCCATGCTCCCATTTTATAGACAGAACTGGGGTTCAAACGTGGGAAGTGACCCCACGCAACACCCCAGTGCAACTGATGTTTGTGACATATGAACTTCAACCCATATTTTTTTCACCTCTAATCTTTTCCTGAGTTTGGTAGTGAGAGCCTTCCTTCCTGTGTTTTTTCTTTCTTTCCATGATTAAGAAAAGAAGTTAAAGTCTTCCAAAGCCAAGAAGAAGCAAAGCTGCTTGAGATTGTTCCATCACCATATTTCATTACAATGGTTGAAGCTTCTCAGAGATTGCCTAGATGCGCCTTGCTGGGCCAGTCCTCATCTCTTGCATCTGTAAGTACATCAGTAGAGTGGATCTGGGGCCACAAAGTGGCCTTCGTGGTTCTGGGGCAGGGGAGAGTGGCAGGAAGGCAAGTTTTGGATCTCCTCATTTTGGCTTTCATCGTTTCAAGATCCAAAATAAAATCTGGAAGGTCTCAGAAAGAGGCTCGTTTCTGAGAGTCCATCTGCTGAGTTTCACTCAATCAGTACTTTCCAATTTTTTTTCAGTCATTGAGTCAATAAGAAAGGTTCAGAAAGTGCCAGAACCGTCAGTCAATGCAAAGATCCCCTCACTGTGCTTTCCTCTTCAAAAACGCAAGAGTTTCTGTTTTCCAGCAAAGAAAAGAGTGATTATACATGCATGTAGGCCTTCTCCAGTCTCCAGCATTTTTAAAGGCCCCTATTTGCCATTGGAACTGTTTTGCTTACCCATACCATAATGACAATTCTTAGGATATATTCATTTTGCAAGAAAGTTCTTGAACACAGGTAGTCGACTTACAACCATTCATTTAATGACCATTCAAAGTTAAACAACAGTGCTGAAAAAAGTGAGTAATGACTGTTTTCCTCATGACCATTGCAACATCCCCATGGTCACATGATCAAAATTTGTTCGCTTGGCAGCTGACTCAAATTTATGATGGTTGCAATGTCCTGTGATCAATCTTTTGTGACTTTCTGACAAGCAAAGTCAATGGGGAAGACAGTCATTTAACAATCATTGTACTAAACTAACTGCACTGCAGTGATTCACTTAATTGTGGCAAAAAATGTCGACAAATGGGGCAAAACTCACTTAATATCTGTCTTGTTTAGTAACAGAAATTTTGGGCTCAATGGTGGTCGTCGAGGACTACCTTTATAGATTTCTGATGGGTAAAGGGTCATATGTGAGGTCACATTTTATGAATTTTAGCTCAGGTAGTCCTCAACTTAAAACAGTTCAATAAGTGACTGTTCAAAGCTACAACAGCGCTGAAAAAAGTGACTTATGACCATTTTTCACACTTTATAACCATTGCAGCATCCCCATGGTCACATGATCAAACTTCAGCTGCTTGGCAATTGATTCATATTTATGATGGTTGCAGGGTCCCGGGGTCATGTGATCCCCTTTGGCCGCCTTCTGACAACCAGAGTCAATGGGGAAGCCAGATTCAGTTAACAACCATGTTACTAACTTAACACATGACATGATTCACTTAACAACTATGGCAAGAAAGGTGGTAAAACTCACTGAACAACTGTTTCACTTAAATTGTGGTCGTAACTTGAGGACTACCTGTACAAATCTGGTTTTGCTTGCCAGGATTCTGTTGAGTATGGAGCCTCCGTTGCCGGCTGAGGCTCAAGAGAAGCTCCTCTACTTGACCTCTATTTACACTCAAGAAGATGGCGCCTTCCCCACTTCTGGCTCTACACTGGACGTTTGTAAGCAGCCCATGTACACCGTGGAGAGCTTGCTGAAGCTCAGTGCTGCTGCAGCCTCCCACAAATTCTTGAAGAGAGCAGGGTGGACAGAGGTGTTGCCAGGAATGGTTAAAGAGAAAGGATTGGCTGAGGAAGAGGAGGAGGAGGAGGAAGAAGAGATGGACACTCAGTCACTATCACAGCAAGAACCTCTTTTCCTAGACGACCCAGCAGCTTTGGCTGAAAAAAGAAAAGCTCTTCAGGGGGGAGTCTGGCAAGTCGGCTCAGGTAAAGCGTGGGAGTTCGCATGTTTGGCATGTTAAGGGCAAAAAAAATGGGCCTGAGAGCTGCGTAGTTTATCTCTGAATAAACTTGTATAAATAAACCAGTGGTTGGAAGGTGTGGAACTGGAGGAATGATAAAGGCAGGAGGAAAGGAACATAGAGTTTAGATGAACTATGCCCCATAATTGCCTTTGCTTAATGGGATACCCCTTTTAATAGCAGATGCTCTTTCTTTTTCTTCTTTCTTTCTTTCTTTTTCCTTCCTTCCCTTTCTTTTCCTTTCTTTTCCTTCTTTCCTTCTCTCTTTCCTTTCTCTCTTTTTTTCTTTTTTCTATGGTATTATAACAGAGGATGAAACCCCGCCCATCCTCTAAGATAGCTGCTATTGGACAAAGGGAGCTTGGAGGTGTGCAACTGATCATTTCCTATTGCTATGATATCTCTCAAGTAGTTAGACATTTAGGTTTTCCAAGTGATGGAAAAGCCTGTTGTTGATAACCCATGCTTCTAACAGTATCTAGAAAATCTACAGTTAGTTCAGGCCTACCCCCAATTAGATTACTTGTAAGACCTCCTGTCTCCAGCTCTCTGCTTTTTCTGTAATATCCAGCAGAGTTGGCATGACTTCTCTCTCAAGTCACCTAGTGGGACTCAGGGGGTGTAGCTTCTGTGCTGAGGACCTGTCATATGGAACATCATGTTCGGATGGCTGTGACTCTGTCCTTCCTCACTGGGCCACACCATGGATTAGATTGAAAATGTTTGGTTCCAAGATGGGACCGTTTCTGAAAGAGCAGACGACCAAGGTGCTTTCAAGCAACCTTACCCAATTTCCAGTGGTATCAGAGCATTCTGAGAGTTGGAAGTTCACAGGTTTAAAAGTTGCCGAGGTTGGACACTCCTGCTGTACATTGTTCCCTTTTGGCTCAGTGCAGTGTTTTAACTCCGCTCCTGTGACTTCCTGGGTGAGCTCTATCCATCATTGACTATACTTGATCTTGCTAAGGTCTATCCATTCCCCCTCACCACCACCACACACAGATGAACTGAAATGGAGAAATTTTCCTCTGGGAAAACTACCCGGCCAAACAGATGATCCCGATACCCTGCTAGTGGATAACTATACCATGATGTCGGCTCTTGACCAACTGGAGAATGGAGACAGGAAAAATACCCCCAACACCGTGTGAGTATTTTCCTAGAGATTGGGGAAATTTCTATTGTTGGAGAAGAGTTAATGTTACCTCTCGGAAAAAGGAAGAGGGGGGCTGAATAATATTCTTGGCTGAATAATAATGATTAATGAGGAAGGCTTTGGGGTGGTGGGACTCTCTTGCCTACTCCTCTCAATTTGAAATGTCTCTAAGGTGGGTATCTGCAACCGGCAGGTCCGGAGCCGCATGGCCTCTTTGGGCTCTCTGCTGCGGCTCCTTGTCCCATCACTGGCTGACCTCGCCCTCTCCTCCCAGTCACTTCTTGCCTGTTTTGAGAAGGTAAGGGCGACGGCGGGGGATAGAGAAGCTGCCGGGGCCGATTCTCTGGTGCCTCACTCTTGCTGGAGCTTCTTCCGGCCATGTTGGTGCTGGGCCTGCCTTGGTCGCTTGGGGAGATGTGCAACCTGCTCTCCGCCCTGAGACACTGGCCTGGCCCGGCCACCACCGCCGCCAGCTTCACTAACATGAGGACTGGCGGGGTGGGAATGGGATCCGGGAGGAGTGGACGACAGAAAGGGAGACAGGCCCGCAGTGCCCAGCTGTGGCTTTAAGAAGCTCAGGTTAGCAGGAAAAGGGGGCTGTGCCCACCGAACCTCGCACACCCACCCCGGGGCAGGCTTGGAGAAAGCCGGAGGGCCCTCACCAAAGACGCTCACCAGTCAGCCAATCTCCCTCTCTGTGTGTGTCTTTCTATGTCTCTCTGTGTGTGCCTCTTCTCTCTTTCTCAGAAAGCTGGGGAGCTCTCTTTGAGGCTCTTCAATACTCTTTTTCTTTCTTATTTTTGGAAATCTGGGCTGGCTGAGGAACGAGCACAAGCCGTGGCAGAGGCTTCCCTCCTTCCCGTCCTCTCGCAACCCCCTGGCCAGCTGTGGTGGTGCCGAGAGGGTGTGCATGAGAAGCAGGGGGAGGAGGATGAGGAGGAAAGCAGTGGTTTGTGCTTGTTCCTCAGCCAGCCCGGATTTCCAAAAAGAAGAAAGAAAAAAGGAGTAGCGAAGCGTCCCAAGGAGAGCTCACTGGGCTTTCCGAGAGTGAGAAGCTCCTTTTCTTTCTTCTTGGCAACTTTTTGGAAATCCAGGCTGGCTAAGGAACAAGCGCAGGCCGAGGCGGAGGCTTCCCTCCTCCTCCTCCTCCTTCCCCTCTTATGACCCCCTGGGCAGCTGTGGTGGAGCCAGGAGCACACGCATGAGCAGGGAGACCCTCTTCAAGTGAGCGTCCGGGCTCGGTCAAAGCACAGAAAAGGCACTCATGGGGAGGGCGGCCACTCACTTGAGGGTCTCCCCACTCGTGCACACGCTCCCAGCCCCACCACAGCTGGCTAGGGGGTCGCGCGAGGAGGAGGAGGAGTTGGCCATGCCCACCCAGATTTTGTGTTTTTTTTTTCTGTGGGAAACGGGTCCAAATGGCTCTTTGAGTGTTTAAGGTTGCAGACCCCTGCTCTAAGGGCTACTGTTAGAATAAAATGAAGAGAAATATAATTATCTTCTGAGTTCCTCGGTCAGAAGTACAGATAGTCCTTGACTTACAATGGTCCATTTAGTGACCCTTCAAAATTACAATGGCACTGAAAAAAGTGACTCATGACCCCTTTTCACACTTTGGCCATTGCAGTATCCCCATGGTCACACAATCAAAATTCTGACACTTGACATATATTTGTGACAATTGCAGTATCCCAAGGTCATGTGATTACCTTTTGAGACTTTATGACAAGCAAAGTCAATGGGGAAGTCAAGTTCACAACAACTTCCTAAGTGTTGCTAACTTAAGAACTGCAGTGATTCACTTAACAGTTGTGGCAAGGATTGTGGCACAATTGTGGTAAAATGGAGCAAAACATACTTAACAAATGTCTCACTTAACAAGAAATTTTGGGCTCCGTTGTGGTCGTAAGTCGAGGACTACCTGTATAAACCTAAATGCTATTGCTATATCAAAAAAAAGGGCTTTTCTCTGAACCAGTTTCAGATGCGATTCTGTTTGTATTCCCTTTGTCGTCATCTGCCATGAGTTTTTATTTGAATCCTTAGCAACGTTTGCTCTAGCAAACAAGCAGCACTTGCCTTATGATGGAGGTGTGGCTTGTAAGAAAAGGAGGTTATCTTGACTTGGAAATCATGCTCAGACAGCAGCTTTCGTTCTGAGCAGGTGGGTGTGGGTGTGTTTCCTGTCAGATGTCACTCCTGGCGTTTGCACCTGTTGCTGAAGAGCAGAGAGGGAAACTGACAGGGGTTAACAACTGTCTTCCCCGCCTGCTTTTGCAAGCCAGAGGAAGAACTTGATTGACGTACAGGATGCACCTGCTTTCTGGGAGAAATTGAGGTCGAACAGTGAAATTTTTAGGATAGGCATAAACATTTCTTTCATAAGGCTTTGCCCATTCTAAAGTTCATAGCAGGGCCATTGTAATGTTACCTGCTTTTCTCCCCACCATTTATTCTCCAGAGTATGAATTCCATTTTGTGTAACATCTGATGTTGGTTACATCAAGATAAGCAAAAGTCAATGGGGAAGCTAGATTCACTTAACAACCAGAGTACCATCAATGGCAGTGATTCACTTAACAACTATGGCAAGAAAGGTTGTAAAATGGGGCAAAACTCACTTAACAAATGTCTCACATAACAACATAAATTTTGGTCTCCATTGTGGTCATACGTCAAGGATTACCTGTACCAAGTTAATGTAGACAAACTAGAAGGAATAATTGGGGGGGACGTGATTCTAATAATCGGAAGTGTTTCTGTAATTACATTGCTGGTTGTTTTGTTCTTGCACTATGCCATGTATAAGTTGCCAAACTATCTCCCAGGGTGCCAAGCCACAAATTACTTAATTTCTCCAATTCAATTTCTCTGGATTCCAATGTGATTTGAATGATGGATGGATGGATTACAAACATCTATAGATCTGTCCAACTCAAACACGACTTTGGCAGCATAAAACAAAAAATAAACCATTTATCAGAGCCAGTTTACACATGCGTTATTTTTAATCATTATTAAAAATAACCCATGTGTAAACTGGCTCTGATAAATTATTCATTTTTATGTAAAATGCGTATGTAGCCAACCATTTGGAACTCGCAATGCCAAAATAAACGATGTCTATTTGCAATAAATTGTTGTCCAGTCAAATTCAGGCTTTGATCAGGCTTGGATGGCTCCCCTTGTTTCAGTCTGAACTAAATAAACCAGGACCCAGATAAATTTTCCTACTCCCTGCTTTGCTTTTTGATTGGAATCTTCTAATCGTCCAAAAGCTTCCTGAAGAAGCTCGGAATGGGTCAATTCCATCATATTTCATGTGCCCCTCCATTTCCTGGAGGAGATGGTGTTCCCTTTCACCAGTTTTTACCACATGATGCAACCACGCTTGGTGAAGTAATTGTGTGCCGTGGTTCTTTCACCTCACTGTTGTCCTGTTCTTTTTCCTTCAGCTCATCAGAATGGTCTGGTTTCCTTACGGCAGGACTCTTATGGACCCAGAGCGAGCTTCATAAATTAAAGAGTGGGATTCAGCTTTTTTGAGTGGGAGATTCTATGTCAATGATATAACACAATGGGAGGTTTCCCTTGCCACTCGAAAGATGCCATGCCTGCCTGCTCTTTGAAAGTTCTTTTTGGTGCAATGCAGCTACTTCTCCATCATAGATATTCCTCCTGGACATTTAAAGCTGTGGAGAAGCAGGCACACTTAATCCACTCAACAGATCTGTCCATTGCTTAAATTCATTTTTGTATTTTAAAAGAATAATTAAATGTTTTAATATTTTTAATAGGTGTGTGCTTTTTATTTAAAAAGCATGCGTGTCATAAATTTGTACAGTATATCATTGTTGCTATGTTAGGTTCTTGTTAAGGTTTTTAAAAAACAAATTTAAAATATATACACTTGCTCTTTATTTGTCCGATGAAGCCATCTATGAAACTCCAAGTGGGTTTTGTTTTTTACAAAGAGGAAACAAGCAGTTTCAGAGCCTGAGTCAGTGTATCATTTATTGAATGCGCATTAATTACTGGATATAAAGCATCTTTACAAAAGGTGTTACATGGAAATTTGAACTATTCCAACAACACTAGAGAAAAGTCCCAAGATAAAGATTGAATAAACATTCTTACCCAGACTGGTCCCTAGAAACCAAAGGTTCAAGCAGGCTAGAATGGTAAGCAGGTTAAGTGATTGTTAGCATCCTTGAAGACTCTGCAAGAACAAAGTGCATCAATGGAGAAGTAGCAGCCTATGAAAGAGGATAAAAAAAAGACGCCATCCAACAATAAACAGTTGTTTGTTCTAAGATTGGTTATGGCTCTTGCAAAACCACACAAGGTAGTTTAACTTATTAACTAATTGGAGGGCACCACTGTGCAAGTCTTGTAACAATGTTGAATGTGCTAAGCATTCAGTAGAAGTATTTATACTTTTTCTCACCCTTACTTGGCGGCTCAGACTACAGCATTAAGTCAAGATGGGCGTCCATCAACAGTGCCACAAAAACTGTTCCTCTTTCAATTAGGCCTGTACAAAGATGGATGCTACTGGTAGAGGGGAGAGGCATTTAACATAATGACAAGTATATTTGCTCTGTGGACACTGACCACCAGAAGATAACTTCAGGCTGAGCTAAGATCATCACTGGTTTGATAAAGCGGTATTTACAACCAACCATATGCAAATGTATGTCAATGCAATATGCAAAAGTGTGAATTGTCTCATAAAGGGGAAAAATGGGGGTCTCTCCCAGAAGCTGATGCTTTGGAGCTTGGCCATTTCAGTTAAAGAGCATGCTTTCTTAAAAAGAAAGGCCTTGCCCATTATTGCTTACATGCAGCTACAGATAAAAAGCACTGCAGTTTATAGTATTTACAAGACATGCATGCCAGCCCTGACCCAGAGCTAGTGACCTTTCCTGGTGCCCATGTTCCTTTTCCCTTATTCTACTATCCAAAGAAGTGGTTGAGGCTACCACTTGTGATGTACACTCTGCTCCTTGCATTTATAAAAATCATTGTCATACCTCTCACTGCAGGGATGGGCAACTTTATGACCTGTGGACTTCAACTCCCAGAATTCCTAAACCATTCTGGTTTAGGAATTCTGGGAGTTAAAGTCCACAGGTCATAAAGTTGCCATAGTTGTCCACCCCGTCTTATTGGATCAGGGCGATTAAAGTATATCTTCATTCTTTGTCATTGAGACTTACCTTATATTTGGGTCAACAGAAAAAAACCCAAAGATTTTTTAAATATATATGTATATATATATATATATAGGTCTTTGGTTATTCAGGTTTTCTCCCGCTTAAATTGGAAGTGTCTTGGCGACGTTTCGACAAAGTCTCATTCGTCATCTTCAGGCGGTGTTTCGGCTTCGTAGAAGCACAAAGCTGAAAACACTGCCTGAAGATGACAAATGAGACTTTGTCGAAACGTCGCCAAGACACTTCCAATTTAAGCGGGAGAAAACCCGAATAACCAAAGACCTACATACAAACACCCGCGAAAACCTCAGAAAACTATATATGTGTGTGTGTGTGTGTGTGTGTGTGTACGTACATACATACATATGCATACATTATATATATATATATATATATATATACACACACACACACACACACACACATACACACATATACATACACATATATATACATATTTTTTGGGAACAATTAAAAGTGTAATGTTTAATTCTATCAATGAAAAAAGTAAACAACTGTAAATACTACAAAGGGACTAACAATAATTATAAGATATACAAGCAAAAAAGGATTACTAAATATTTACATAATCACTGAAGCTCACATTTCAAAATTATTTCATCTATCCCAGTTCTCAGTAGCTAAGCAAACAGTATTAAATATTGATTTAACAGTATATTACAGAAAATTCAAATGCAAATAAATACTTTATAGGATGGGGTTTTCTGGTTTTTCAAGCTAGACAGAGCGATTATAGCCGCCTGATACACAAATAAATAAATAAACACTCTGCTCTCAAAAAGAGCATTTAAAAGAACATGTATTTACAATATAGGCAGTTGTGATTTTTTATATATACCATCCCTTCTATATAAGAAGAAATTCAGCATTGAGAGACAAAGGCAGTGAAATGTCAGTTTGGAACTGGTATTGAAAAAATCCAGACAGAAAGAAGTAAACTGATTTAACAAATGCTACAACAGTTTCAGAGAAAAATAATTAGCAAAAAAAACCAAACCCAAACATTGTTTTAAAATTGCCATTATCTACTTGCTTTTACAGATTAGATTCTGAAATATTTTTTTTACAAAAAGGGAATTCCTTCCTTGAGGAAAAGAGGTGCTACAGAGAGTATACAACTTCTTCTCCATAGCATTACTTCCCAAGAAAGCACACAAGAGACTTGTAACATTTTAAATATATTGCTAACAATATATAGAATATAATATATAGTTTTACTGACAGTAAAATATTTTCATCCTTAATTTTTTTTTAAAAAAACCATGCAGTAGCTTTTGCTCAGCATTCGGTGTGCTGAAAGATTCTGCTAGAATTGTTTACAAGATTACCTTGGGATAGGGATAAAATGGAAAACACCTATTTTATATATATATATATATATATATATAGAAATTGGATTCCATGCAAAAAATATGAGCACACAAAATTTCAACTGAAAAACTATACTTCTATAATGATCCTTTTAAAAACAAAAGCAGGATGTATAGCACTTTTACTGTCAATAGCCATGTATAAATATGAACATACGTCTTATTAACATGAGTATTTTACAAAAAAAATTCTCTGCAAGAATGTATTAATAAATAGACAATATATAATTTATGCAGCATAATGCTCTTAAATGCCCACACATTAGCAGTGTGCATTATAGTAATAAAATGGAATTCAAAATTTGCCTGTTATTTTTTTTCTATAAACTGCTAAGTGCCCATTTTAAATAAAAAGATTTATAATCCTCCATGAGCTACTCCCCTTTGACACACAGTGTCACAAACATAGTGATGAAAGTACAATATTGAGCTAATCTAGAGATGGCTTTTATACATTTTTTTATACATCAAGAAAGATACAATTTGTATCAACAAACAAAAAGTCGTTTCTGGTTATTTGAGGTGTTGCTCTCAGCTACTTTTAAAAGAGAAGAAATCTCAAAAAAAGTGGGGTTTTGTCCTCATTGATAAAAGGGTCTAGATAACTCAAGGGTTTTCTTTGTTTTGTTTTTACAGCGAAAGGGCCAAATATTGCGAAGAATATTCAGGGTGCAGATTAAACCAAAGGGCAAATCTGCATTTTTCTTCAGTGCTTCTTAAAGCACTGGATAAAACTGGGAATGCTGGGGTCTGCAATGCAGTAAACTCAGCATGGTGCACCATCCAAACTTAATCCAATAGCAGCCACAACAAAAAAAAAAGCCACCAGTGTGCCAGCAGTAATTTGAAAAAAGCTGTACCATGACGAGTACATGGGGTCATGTCAGGTGATCCACCACCATTTTCCTACAGGGAAATAAAGCTTGTCTTTAAAATCAGAAGACAGCTTTGTGGAAGAGCAAACATGCTACAGGCAGGTGACATCAATATCTCTTGTGGTTGGAAAGTTGTTAGATGAATTACTGTCATTCTTCTCTCTAGAGCAGTGTTTCTCAGAGTTAGCAATTTTAAGATGAGTGGATTTCAACTCCCAGAATTCATATTGGCTGGGAAATTCTCGGAGTTGAAGTCCTTCTTAAAAATTGTCCAGGTTGAAAAACACTATTCTGGGGAAATGCTATCCCTAGGTAGCCTTCTTTAATATGTTCAGCAGAATCTCAATCATCTAAACAAGTTCTTTCTTGTTAGTATCAATGCACAAGTATGCTTGTTGTGGACACCGAGATAGAATCACCCAGTTAGTGACATCATCCCTGTCTAGATCCACCTTGAATATCCTACCTGATGCCAAACAGAAATAAATTAAGCAGCCATTCTGGGCATTGCTGGGAATTATTCCAGCAACATGAAACACCCTTTGGATTATTCCTCACAACCCCAATCCCCTGGGTCTGAAAACAAAAATTCAGAAAGCAGCTTGGAAGCCATTCTCAAAACACCAGAAACAACCCTGACGGCAGCCTCGCGTTCCATGTGTTTCCTAGTCAGAAACATTTAGGCAGTGTCACACCTTCTCATGAAGAAACCGAAGGCCAGTAACTCGGCCTTCTCGACTTTCATGAAAAAAAACTACAGTAGAAGTCAACAAGTCCTAGCTCGAGACATATCGAGTTAGTAATGGTTCAAAATGTTCAAAGACATGTTTGGATTTTAAAAGGGTGTCCACTCAGTGCAGCTTTAAAAAAAGAAAATGGAAAAGCTACTACACCTGGATAAATATCTCTTAGGGGAGACATTTAGCTACAAAAGTTGCCCGCTCTTGAGCAAAAATACCCAAACATTTGCTGAGATGATTTGAGTCAGTCAAACAGCTCCAAAGAAGCAAATGCATACCTTTGCATGGATCCGAAAGTGAAAAATTGAAACAAGTTTATCAATTCTGTAACATCCTTTAGAAAACAACTCCATCTTCTATCATCAACATCTACCGGTAATCCTTTTAAAAAATGTGTTTACTCATTTTGTACTTAGTTGTACTTGGGCTAAACTGAAATGTGAAATTTGATTTAGGATGCTATAATTATACCGCCTTTGGATTGTAAAAAATTGAATTGTACAATTAATTGTATTTTAAAACCCACACTTGCCAATTTTAACAAGATTTATGTGGAAATGAGACGGTTAAGGTTTAGCTGAGTATTGTCCTACTTGCTTTCATGTCATCTATTTGACACGGATGGCCTCGTCCCAAAGAGCATGACTTAAAGACCCCCCCCCCCAAATCACCCCATTAGTTGTGCATCCATGCAACAAGTCCCCCCCCCCAAAAAAAATCTGTCTTTCTATTTTCCTCACTTGGAGAGCAAAGATTTCTCCAGTGGGCACAAACTGAATTTGCCAGAGAACCGAGAGTTGTTCAGACACAGCAGCTGATGGGGCCTCGGAGAAGTTCTTTGAATGAGATGGACCAGAACAGGCAACCTTCAGTGTGTGAGGATGTTCAAATGCACACAGCGCATTTTCCTTGGAGCAGCTTGTCAGTTAACACTGCAAACTACAAAACTCACTCATGCAATATAATTGCTAATAAGTTTGAGGGACTTATTTCAAACATAGGACCTTTTGGATTCAAGAAACAGTATATATCCATGCAAAAAGTATGCACTTCATGTAAAATACACATTTTTTTTAAAAAAAATCCCAGCTTTAAAAAAATTACTTAATGCTTACTTATAATACAATCTGCTTTTTACAGAATTCTTCAACCACATATTCAATGCAATTGCCAAAACAATCTACAGATTGGTATACTAGAGCGGGAAACTATTCCCATAACAGAGAATATCTCTATAGGATCATGGGTATCTCCTGCAGGACGTTGGTTTGGTGCAGTCAGTATTTTTCTCCAGGAATTCAAAGGGATACTATGCTAACGCCCTGTTCTCAATTTGGCAACAATCATAGCTGCCAACTGTTGTGCATCAGTCATGTGTGGATTCTTCTCCATCACAGACAAGACGACGCCAGCAGGAAAAATATTACAGAGATTCTTATAGGTCTGGTACTGATGCTCTGGGATAACGCGTGGTTCGTGGGGCTCCCCACAAACCCCAATCCAAGGGTTACGCCAGAGTTGCTCCATCTTCTCAGGCATGCTCCTCACCATGACGGGCTCATAACATGGCTGCATGAGGCTGTTGCTCAAGGGATAGGAATGATAAGAGTAGGCATCAGTTGCACATGGTAATGGATCCCAGCTGGCGTGTTGCTCTCGACAAAGGGGGGGTCTCCTCTGCCGAGTAGGGTTACTTTCATAAAGTCTCGAATCAGAAACACTATCCATCCTTGTCATAACCAGTGCACGGCTCGGTTGGGCCGTAGCTGATGATTGGTGAACATTTGGAGGCCCTGGGTAGTCCCCTGGGCAACTGGATCGTGCCCCAACAAAAGGGTGTTGGACGTGTAATGCTAAATGAGAAGCTGAATGCTTGCGTGGAGTATGTTTGGGCCTTTCAGTGCCATAACTCTGAACTCTAGTTAAGCTCTCGTGATAGCCATGAGAAAAAGGCTGAAGTCGGTTTTGCGGTGGAATTCGAGGAACTTTAGTGTGATCCTCTGAACCCACATCTCCTACACCCAGGTACAGGTCGGTATACGAAGAGTAAGAGTCATTACTTGCATGGCTTAAGCAACTGTCAGGACATGGGCTTGAATTTCTTGAGTAGATACCTTGGTCTAGATCGACTCCATAATAATCTGTGTTATGGATGTTGCTAATGTTCAAACTGGAAAAGTCATTGAGCATAGAATAATAGCCATGGTCTCCCAAAGATTCATATTTGGGGTATGGGTCCGTGTAGTTGATCGAAGCCCCGTGACTGTTGGTGACCAGGATTGGAGGGTAGTGCATGCTGGCCATGTGTTCTAGGGAGGATTTCTGATGGGTGAACTGAGAAGAAGACCCAGGCACAGGGCTACTCGCTGACCGAGCGTTTAAGGCCCCAACTGCATGGCTTTTAGGAGGTGGAAGCGTTGGGACACTTAATGCCGTAACAAGAGATGGGACAGAGCTTGCCTCAGGCTTCCGCATTATCGACAGCCGGTCCTCCGGTTCCACCACCACAGACCGGATGCTTGGATCAGACTGGCGTTTCGGAGGATTGCGCTTCACTTCTGAAATGTTCTCCCCTCCTTTGCAAAGGGCTGGCCCTGAACCACATTTGGCCAAGGCACCTTCACTCATGGTTTTCACCGCAGATAATTTTGCACTGATGCGAAGCTCATCTGCAACAGATCTCAAGGGCTGGTTTGTCCGTTCAGGGTGGTAATATTTACATTTGTGCCCATACGTGCATTTTTTCCCTGGGGGAAAAAAATCCTCTCTGATTAGGAATGTTCTTTGCCAACTATATATCTTAACTGGATAACCCTAGTGAAATCTTTTGCTCTTACCACAAAAGCATAAAATAAGACATTGGTATTTTCTTACATCATGATAAAAGGTCCACAATTTTCCTTATTAACAGATCCAAATTCTTGTCAAGGTTTTAATCCGAGTGACAATGCTCCATGAAGGCAGCTAGAGCAGACCTCACAAATAAATATATTCATTTATAAATGTTCACTCAAAATGAGATACAGCTAAATTAGAACACAGTTATGTTGTGATAGTATTATTCTAAGTGATCAAAGAGAATCATTAGGATCTATTCCTATCTAAAAACAAAATGAATGAAGGTGAATATACATGTTCCAGGATAATGCTGCAGGATCCAATCTGGGTTGGTCACCAGGACCAGAGGCTTTGTCTTCCAAACTTTCAGACTTGTGCTGGAGTCCATCTTCAGGGAACTTCTCTCTAGCAGAGTGTGTGCACAAAAAGAGCCAGAGTAGTGATTGAAGCCTGGAAAACAGGCCCTCATCAGGCAACAGGAGTACTGATTTACCACCAGTCTATCAAATACTTGCAAGGCGAGGGCTGGTCAGCACAAGGAAACAACAGTCAATGACTTAAAAGCCAGCCATGGACACACCCCAATCTACATCCAAAAAGCCACTTACAACAGGCACTATAAATAGCACACACAGAACAGCACATACTCTGCTACAGAGAAGTTCCCTGTGCATGAGCTCCAGCATGAGTCTGAACGCTCAGAAGACAAAACCTCTGATCCCAGTGACTGAGCCAGATTAGATCCTAAACAAAATGAATTTCTTGGCTGTAGATATAATTGAAACTCTACAGGCAAGAGAGAGAAGAAAAACTAAGGCTTTACCTTCAAAGATCATGTTGAATGGATCAGGTGGCATAAACTAAAGAAATAGTATTTCTATGCTGCCTCCCAATTTTAAAAATTCAGAGTAAATTCTTGATTAGCCAATAAATTTAAATTGTATTTTCTTCAAAGCTGTACTACTTTACTACTACTATTTTGCATTATGAGATGCAAAATAATAATATAATTATTCAATAAATTGATTGTTTATTTTAATATTCCCCAACCTGGAATCTTCCAGAGATTCAGGGAACTACAAATTTGCAGTTTAAAAAAATGTTAGCTATGCAGTCTGAAAGTATTCCTCAAACCTTTAGAGAAGGGGTCTCCAAACCTGGTAACTTAAAGATTTATGGACTTCAATGCCTAGAATTTCCCAGCCAACGAGAACATAAATTTCTCCAAATCCCTCCAGTAACCTACTCACCATAAGGGCACGGTTGCTTTTTGTGTTCTGGTATCACTGGCTTTTTCCTTAAGAAGTTTTCAAGACTAGGGCCATGGCGTCCCAATGGATCATCAGGTGGCATAAACCTAGAAAAATGAAACATAGTCAAATTTAACTGCCTAGCATTAATCTCTTTGACAAGCTTCTATTTGTTACTTCTTGTCCTGCCTGCAGGTACTTGGGAGAATGAAAGACATGACAGTCTTCTAATATTTGAGGAGCTGTGAGAGAGAAGTGGGGGTCAACCTATTCTCCAAAACATCTGAGGGCAGGACAAGAAGAAACGGTTGGGAGATCATTAATGAGATCCAGCCTAGAACTCAGGAGAAATTTCCTGTCTGTGAGAACAATTAATCAATGGCTTGCTTCCAGAAGTTATGGCTGCATCATTATTGAAGGTTTTTAATAGATTGATTACAGCCATTTGCCAGAATTGTGTAGGGTCTCCTGATTTAAACAGATGGTTGGACTAGAAGACCTCCAAGGTCTCTTCCAACTCTGTTATTCTGCAATCTATAAAGTAACTAGCATCTAGTGGTTAAGAAGGTTACACAATATTCTTACATTAAAATTGGCCATGACACAGATTTATTTATTATACTTGTTAGTTGTGAAGTCGTATCCGACCCATCGCAACCCCATGGACTACTTTCCTCCAGGCCTTCCTGTCCTCTACCATCCCCTGGAAACCATTAGTATACCTATATAGTACATACTGAACACAGACTGATGGTGATTTAAAATAATGTTGACATCAGCGTTCCAAATTATGATCTCTTTCAGCGCTGACATGAAATCACAGAAAGACAGTTGTTGTTAGTTGCGAAGGAGTGTCCAACCCATTGTGACCCCATGGACAACGTTTCTCCAGGCTTTCCTGTCCTCTACCATCCTCTGGAGTCTATTTAAGCTCACGGCTACTGCTTCAGTGACTCAATCCAGCCACCTCATTCTCTGTCACGCCCTTCTTCTTTTGCTCTCAATCGTTCCCAGCATTAGGCTCCTCTCCAGGGAGTCCTTCCTTCTCATTAAGTGGCCAAAGTATTTGAGTTTCATCTTCAGGTTCTGGCCTTCTAAAGAACAATCAGGGTTGATCTCCTCTAGGACTGACTGGTTTGATCGCCTTGTAGTCCAAGGGACTCGCAGGAGTCTTCTCCAGCACCATAGTTCAAAGGCCTCAATTCTTTGGTGCTCAAGCTTTCTTATGGTCCAACTTTCACAGCCATAGATTGCAACTGGGAACACCATAGCCTTGACTATACGCACTTAGTTTATGATCTTAGTTTTCTTAATGTTTAGTTTCAAGCCAACTTTTGCACTCTCCTTCTTCACCTGCATTAATTCCTCTTCACTTTCTGCTATCATCTGCATATCTGAGGTTGTTGTTATTTCTCCCAGCAATCTTAACTCCAACTTTTGATTCATCTAGCCCTGCCTTTCTCATGATGTGCTCTGCATATAAGTTAAATAGGCAGGGCGACAGTATACAGCCTTGCCGGACTCCTTTCCCAATTTTGAACCAATCAGTGGATCCATGTCCAGTTCTCACTGTTGCTTCTTGACCTGCATTTAGGTTTCTCAAGAGACAAATAAGATGGTCTGGTACTCCTATCTCTCTAAGAACTTGCCACAATTTGTTGTGATCCACACAATCAAAGGCTTTAGCATAGTCAATGAAGCAGAAGTAGATGTTTTTCTGGAACTCCCTAGTTTTCTCCATGATCCAGCATATCTTGGCAATTTGATCTGTAGTTCCTCTGCCTCTTTGAAATCCTGCCTGTACTTCTGGTAGTTCTCGATCCACATACTGCTGGAGCCTAGCTTTTAGGATTTTAAGCATAAATTTACTAGCATGTGGAATGAGTGCAATGGTGTGATAGTTTGAACATTCTTTGGCATTGCCTTTCTTTGGAATTGGAATATAAACTGACCTTTTCCAATCCTGTGGCCACTTTTGAGTTTTCCAAATTTGCTGGCAAATTGAGTGTAGCACTTTTACTGCATCATCTTTTAAGATTTTGAAATCTTAGCTTAGCTGAAATACTGTCACCTCCACTAGCTTTGTTGTTGCTCAGATTTCCTAAGGCCCATTTGACTTCACATTCTAGGATGTCTGGCTTGAGGTCAGTGACCACCCCATTGTGGTTATCAGGGACATTAACAAAAATATTGTTGCTGAGTCTCAAAGCAGCAACCTTTACTAACAAGCCAAGATCACAACCACTTTTGTAGTTTAGCAGTAGCGAATTCAGAAAGCAGCTTCTGCCAATCAATCTTTACTTTCCACGTAAAAGTAAAAGATACCTGAAAAACAAGCAAAAAATGCTAACCAAAAATCTAACAGGATTGGAGCCTTTTCTCACTAAAGAGGAAAAAATGTTATTCTAGCTTAGAACAAAATCTACGGAGAAAAGAAGAAGAATTGAAGAATATAGGAAAACATTGAGAACAAATACTTAAATCAGTTAACTACTATTTACGTTGTTCACAGACATTAATTCTTGGCCATGCTATTTTCAAATACAGGTAGTCCTCAAATTACAAAGTTCATTTAATGACCAACATTACAATGGCACTGAAAAAAGTGATTTATGACCGTTTTCAAACAACCATTGCAGCATCCCCATGGTCACATGATCAAAATTCAGACGCTTGGCAAGTGGTTCATATTTATGACAGTTGCAGTGTCCGGGATCACATGATACCATTTTGTGACCTTCTGACAAGCAAAGTCAATGCGGAGACCAGATTCATCTATTAACCATGTTACTAACTTAACAACTGCAGTGATTTACTTAACAACTGTGGCAAGAAAGGTTGTAAAATGGAGCAAAACTCACTTAACAACTGCCTTGCTTAGCAACACAAATTTTGGGCTCAATTGTGGGTGTAAGCCAAAGACTATCTGTAATGAGAATGTAATGAGAATCGGAATTAGACAATTAGGAGAGAGGAAACCTCTCTAAGGAAGATTTGTGCACAGCACATGAGGGGAAATAGCGTACTTGTCATTTACAAAGGAATACATAAGCAGCCGTTCCTCTATGAATTTCTTCCATTCTGGTTTCTCATTCTGAAGGTCCCGGTAATTGTCATTGGACACAATGATGCCATCAGAGTCATAGGCCAACTTCACTATAAAGCGGTCATCGTAGCAGACGACTCGTCTCCCTTGCACTCTCCGTGATGGGGTGAAAACAAGAATTTTTTCCTTCTCCAATCTATGCAAGATTTCTTGGTCTGCAAAATTGGATTTACATAAGAATGTTAAGATCAAGGTACTTGGATAAAGAGCATTTATTACGGTTTGTCACTGCTGGCAGTTATATAACTATAGGGATTAATGTGACCCATTTGGTTCATTGAGTTTATTTAATTCTTTTAGTTCAGGATTCCATAACTTTTTTTCAAGTTCTAGACCACACTTTGCTTTAAAAGTAAAAAGTAGGCTTGAATTGATTTATATTTAAATTTAGTTAATACTTTCTATATTATATATGCAATCATGTTTCAGTTTCTCACATCAAAAAAGTACTTTTTTGATAAGATAATTTTCTCTGGGGCCACACTCAAAGTTTGGGGAGCTTGTGAAGCAGACCAATGACTTACTTGCTGTAGAATCTAAGCTACATTTAAAGATTCTAAAAGAATTTTACAGAATTTACATATATTTATATACTTAACATTTCTAGTTCATATCGTAGTCATCATTTCCCCATGCTATTAAGTTTTTGTCATAATTTATAGGATAATTTTAAAGAAGATATTAAGCATGATAAAATAGTATCTTGCCTATAGTGAATTTCTCATGAAACCAACTACTCTAGAATGATTTAAACCTGTAATTAGGTTTCCTCTGGCCTTTACCCATCAAGTATTTTTCTACATTTGTTTTCAAATATTTAAGGACCTTTGAAAAGGTAGAGAGTAAAATAAGAACATGGAAAAGTATGAACTTAAGGCAGAATAAATAAACTGTCATTCACATATTGCTCCAACTTCTGAGGAGCTCACTGAGAGCAAGCCAGTGAAATTCAGTGCAAAGCATCTACTTTGGAAAGTGTGATTATTGCCAAGTTCTTATATTCATCCATTCTAAAGTAAGTGTTTACTATATTTTTTGGAGTATAAGATGCACCAGAGTATAAGATGCACCTTAATTTTTGGGGAGGAAAACAAGAAAAAAATAATTCTGCCTCTGCCTACCAGCATCAGGATCAGCAGTGTCCTCACTTCCACTTGGATTTTGATAACGAGTAGCACAGATCTTTTTATCAGTTTAAAACAAATCTTATCACTCTATTTAACTGGAGTGGGCAGAATGGGGTGGGGTATGATTGTCATGGGAACAGAAGAGGGACTTGGCACCAAAGGCTTCACTCTCGAGATGCCTCCGTCTTCCTACCTATAGGCGTTGAAAGCCTGGCTTTCTTGCAGCAAGGCCCAAGAGAGACACAGTACTTCAGTCCTCCTGGACGCTGCCATCTCATAAACATGGTGCCAGGCTTCCGGCAAGTCCCCTGCGCCTTTGCTGCCTTGGTCGGAGCTTGATTCTGGAAGCGGCCTGGGGAAGCGCGGAGGTCGGGACTTGCTTGGAGAAGCAGGCGCTGCACAGGGGGCATAAGGCAAGGCGCTGCCATCCAAACACACTGTTGCTGCGATCTCCGCTGCCTGGAGATCTCCGCTGCCTCCCCGATTCCAAAAATGGGGCATGTGGAGGCAAAGAAAGAGCATTGCGTTTTCAGACAGTTCCAGGCAGAGGAGATCGTGGCAACAGTGTTTTCAGGTGGCAGTGCCCTGCCTTACACCTCCTGTACAGCGTCCAGCAAGCCACCAGTTCCTTGAAGATGCAAGCCCATTCAGCACACCCGAAGCCTGCAGGTGGTCTGCATGGACCACCCTCACCCTATGCTGTACAGCAGCTATGGAGGCAGAAATCTTGGGAGGTTAAAGAGAAGTCTACTGCTGTAGGGAGTGGAGATCGCCAGTCCTTGCACAAGTTGTGAAGGCAGCTGTCAGAACTGCTGGAGCTGCTTCCAGGCAGACCCTGGGAGAACTTGGAGCTCTCAGTGGCTAAAGGGGAAGAAGCAAATTCTGGGCACGTTGAGAACACACACTCCTATTGCTGGAAGAAGGGCTGCTCTCCTGCAGTCTCCCTCCCCGTCCATGCGCCTGCAGTCCTCCCTCCTCAGCCACTTTCTCCTCCCAAACAGTCTTCGTGCCCAGAGGGGCTCCATACGCAGTCGAGGTTGGTTTCCCCCCCCACTTGCTCTCTTAAACTGAACTGCATTAAGTAGCTGGGGGGACAGCGTGAAGGAGAAACGTCTCAGCTCCCCACAGCCGCTTGGCGTTTTGACCGCCCGAAACCGATCAGCGCCGCCTCCGCAGTGGCCAGCTGTTGCTGTCTCCCAGGATCATTTATCAACAAGTCAGAAAAGCAGTGCAGTTCAGTTTAAAAGGGGGTGGGGGAGGAAACCAACCTCGACCTTCTTCCAGCAACAGGAATGTATGTCTTCTCAATGTGCCCAGAGTTTTCTTCTCCTTTAGTCACTGAGGAGGAGGGCGGGGGAGGAAAATGCCGGAAAACACAATGCATGGAGGCGATACTCTTGCGAAGCGGGCGCTTCTACATGAGAGGCGTAAGGCAAGGTGCTCACCGCCCAACCTGCCCCTTCTCCAGACGACCCAGGCTGAGGGTGGTCGGCTTCTGCTCCTGGCCCAGGAGACGGATCTGGCCAGGAAGAGAAGGTGATAAGCACCTTCTCGTTGGGTGGAGACAGCAGCCAGGAATGGGTGTTCTCGCCTGTTCAGCTTGAATGACTGAGTCTGTACCAAAATTAAGCTCTACCCTTGTTGCTAAGATTATCCAGCTTTTTTCTCAGTCCTTTAGACTGGACAGACGTCTCGGGCTGGATCTCTTAACCATCTTCCTTTCTACCTTTCCTGGTTGCTGTCTTTGACATTTTGGACTTTGATTCCTTTTATTCTCATCAAACTGTGAGTTGCTGAGAACCTTGTCCTCATTGGACTTGGTTCCTTTCCCCTGCAGGTTTGCCTGCCTGGGAGGAGACATCCCCCTCCCCATTTCACCGGCTAGCATTGCTCCGTTGAACTTGCAGGCGTTCCAGAGCACCATGAAGGCTTTTCTCCTGGGGGATTGGGGTGAACGTGGCAAGCCGGAGATTTGGTGAGGAGCTTTGCGCTCCGTTGAGAGCTACGTGGACGGCCATTGCTAATTCCATCGTGCACGAGGCCGTCCACTGCTTAGATCAGCTGCTGATTCCACCACTCCTGCCTGCCTAATTATCAAAGGAGCTAGCCCTCCGCAGTGAGCATTCCCAGCTTGACGACAACGATCTCACAGGCAACCACATCGTTTGCTGTCCCAGGAGCTTCGTGCTCAGTTGGCTTGCTGTTAGCCGCTATTTCATCGTCAGGAGCTTCGCACTCCATTGCCTAACCGTTGAGGAGTTGATTTGGCCGTCAGGAGCTTCGCGCTCCATTATTGGCCGTTTGAGAGCTGATTTGGGCGTCAGGAGCTTCACGCTCCATTGCCTGGCCGCTGAGAGCTGTTTTGGCCATGAGGAGCTTCGCGCTCCGTTGTTGAACTGTTGGCCGCCGTTGATTGTTCAGGAGCTTCGTGCTCCATTGCCTGGCCGTTGGGCACCATTTTGTGACCTTCCGGAGTTTTGGGCTCCCTGGTCTATTACTGGACTCCATTGGCACCTTGTGCTCAATTTTTTCTGATAGCGCATTTGCGCTTTGCAGTGGGCCTCTGTGTTTGGAACTGGGGGGGTTTCCCATTGAATTGTCTCTCCAGCAATCAATTGCCCTGAGTGCCTCTTTGTATCTGAGGCGGCCATTTGCAATTTGCCTTGCCCCAAAGGGGCGTAGAGCCTTTTATATTTGTCATAAAGATGCCTAAGGCACTTTCCAAATCAAAACATGGCCGGAAGGCCGGGTCTACTGACCAGTCAGACAGGATGCCTTTGAGCACAGACCCAGGTACTTCTCAGGCACCGTCTATCATGGAAGTGTCCTCCAAGGGCAAAAACTCTCATTCCCATCATGCCCCTCGCTGCCTCAGCTCAGCTGCCACTAGAGACGAGAGGCGCAGGGATCAAGCCTTGCAGAAAATCTACAATAAGGCCAGCAAGAGTAAGAGCCCTACCTCACAGGAGCTTCCCAGGTTCCTCCCTCTGTGGTGACACCTGACCAGGTCTCTCTCCGGGATTGTCCCATATCTGTTTCCACTTCTGGATTGTGGGGACTTACTATGCCCTCAGCTTCTACTACTACTCCTCTTCCTCTAGAGGAACCTGCCGAGGCCGTTCCTGGCACACAATAGAGAATGTGTGCTCCCTGATAACCTCCCTGATAACCTCCAACAGATTTTTTCCAGGGCTCTTCAGATGTCATTAGAAGCTGGCTATCTTTGTCCCGCCAAAGATCCTTCTGGAAGGTTTCTAATTCTCCTGTGCAGGACATCCAGGATGATCTGCTATCCTGTCTGGAATCGGTGTTGTTGACTCTTTCACACATGACCAATCCAGCGACTCGACGAGGTCAACCACCTGGAACCAGACTTGTCTGATGACGAGGGCCTCAAGCCGAAACAACCGGCCTTTACTGGTCTTTTCCGCCCAGCAGTTTTTAAATCTTTACTCTTTAAAGTGTCTCCTCCCAGGCAGGCAAGTCTGCAGGGGAAAGGAACCAAGTCCAATGAGGACAAGGTTCTCAGCAACTCACAGTTCGATGAGAATAAAAAGAATAAAAGTCCAAAATGTCAAAGATAGCAACCAGGAAAGGTAGAAAGGAAGGTGGTTAAGAGACCCAGCCCGAGACGTCTGTCCAGTCTGAAGGACTGAGAAAAAAGCTGGATAATCCTAGCAACAAGGGCGGAGCTTAATTTTGCTACAGACTCAGTCCTTCAAGCTGAACAGGCGAGAACATCCATTCCTGGCTGCTGTCTCCACCCACAATGGAGAAGAGAAAGTGAGACTGCGGAAAAGGAGGAGGAGGGTGCGTGGCTCTGCGAATTGCTTCAGGGAATCGGGGAGGAAAAAGAGCATTGCCTCCATGCATCATATTTTCCGGCGTTTTCCTCCCCAATTGCCCGAAGCAATTCACATGCTTTAGAACTGTTAGGTGGGCATAAGAGAGATTTAATAAGCTTAGATTAAATCTAGTGAAATGAAAGGAAACCATACGGGGAGGGGGGTGACGAAAACACAGGTTTTCTCCAAATCATTGGGACTTCTATTCATCAAAATCCTTAAAAATTCCAGAATTCATTGACATTTGCTGTCATCTTCTTTCACTAGATGGTGCTTGTTTGTAAAATTAGCTCCTCTGTCAAGTGAGCAGCAACTTTTCCATCTAGAGAAATGTATGAATGAGGAATTCTAAAGAACAGCAAGAAAAAAAAGTGTTAAAAGAACTCTAAATTAAAGCTTCAGAAACTCAAGATAATGCTTGTCTGTCACATTTGGAGTCAAGATAATGGAGTCATTTTCATCCTTACAGCAAGGCTCTTAGCAACAAATGATATTATACAGTGTGGTGGGGCCATGACTTTTCTGGCTCGTAGAATAGGCCTCAAAAGCCCCTACTTCAATCCAAAGAGATGGAATGGGATTAAATCCTTTCAGTATCTCTTTCTTTCCTACTAAAATGCCACCAATACTCTGACAACTTCTTTTCCCCAAAAGGACTTGCCAGATGAAGCTGATTGAAGCTATTCCTGAAGTTATGAAATATTAAAGCTACTTCCCCAAATGATTAATAAATTCTTCCAGCAATTTGCAGAATATTCTTTGAACACAAAATTTTCCCCATTGTCCCCTTCCTTAATTCCATTTTGATTTCCAGAAAAATCAGTCGGGGGGGAGGGGGGGACACTGATACTACATTTGTGTTAATTTATATCCCACTTTTGACAAGGCTCACAATATATTAAAAATGAGTACAGGTAGTCCTTGATTTACAAGAGTTCATTTAGTGAGTGTTCAAATTACAATGGCACTGAAAAAAGTGAGTTATGACCATTTTTCATACTTATGATTGCGGCATCCCATGGTCACATGATCAAAATTCAGATGCTTGGCAACTGGTTCATATTTATGACCGTTGCAGTGTCCTGAATTCGTGTGATCCGCTTTTGCAGCCTTCTGACAAGCAAAGTCAATTGGGAATTGGCAATGATTCACTTAACAAAAGTGGCAAGAAACTCATAAAATGGGGCAAAACTCACCTAACAAATGTTTTACTTAGTAACATAACTTTTGGGCTCAATTGTGTTCATAAGTCGAGGACTACCTGTATAAAGTGGAAACTATCTTAAGCAAATTGAGCATTCAATAAGCTAGAATACAAAATAAGTACCAAATAACTCACGTGGTTCAAAATGTTCCTCAATGCAAGCATTAATATAGCCCATAAGATTTAAATGGTCATGCAAATTTTTTCTATTATATTATGCAAAAACAGTATGTATGTCTACAGTATTATAGTAGACAGAGTAACTGAGTCATCCTATTGGAAAAATCCTCATCTTTGATCTTAAAACAGTTATGCCAGTCCAAAATTGTTACCTGTAATTGGCGCGTCTGGTCGACTCTGTTCTTTCCTCCAGGTTGGCACAAATACTGTTATATCTTTGTGACCTTTTTCCAGAAACCAATCAACAGCTAACTGAATCCCTCGACAGGAAAATCCTTCTTTATTTCCATGGCTGAAAATGAACAAAAATAATTCAGATTATTTCTGATATATCTTGATGAAGATGGCTGAGAAAAAAATTAATACATAAGGGAAAGGCGTTTATTAAAATTTAGGAGACAGTATTAAAAAGATCTAGAAAAAAACAGAAAAACTTCACTCTCGCAAATGAAGGCAAATGTATGTGTCCTAGGATAATGTTGCAGGATCCAATCTGAGTCGGTCATCGGGACCAAAGGTTTATTCTTCCAAGCTTTCAGACTCGTGCTGGAGCCTATCCTCAGGGAACTTCTCTGTCTCTAGAATATACGCCCATTCTGGAGAGAGAATGGCACACAATCTGGAGAGAGAGAATTTCCCTGAGGATGGGTTGTAGACGAGCTCAAAAGCTTGGAAGACTAAATGTTTGGTCCGGTGATCGACTCAAGATTGGACCCTACAAACTTCACTCTGTTTTCTTGCTGGCTGGGGAATTCTGGGAGTTGAAGTGCACAAGCCTTAAAAGTTTCCAAGGTTGGAGATTCCTGTTCTACAATGATGAGATGTCATCGAGATCCATATAGTTCCCTCCCTGATGACATATCGGGCTGTCTAGACTTGGCTTCTTACCCAGGCCGTCGGGTAGAGTGGATGGGACACCAGCACCACCACCCTGTTTGTGAGATTTTATGTCTTCGGTGTTGCCACCTTGTGCTTATTTTGCAGGGTTTTTTTTAAATCTGTTTTGATTAATTCTCTATATTTCTTGTTTTTGCTATTTTATTGTGAGTCATCCAGAGTCAGCTGGAATCTAGTGGCATCCAAACGGAATAAATTTGTTTTTATAGTATGCCTGAATCAGAAGACTCTAGGCAGATTACTACTGTGCCAGAAACAGTTCAAGGTGCACTAGCTCTAAATGTCTGTCCCAAAATGGACACCTTCAACAATCAATTAGGGCAGAGGTCCTCAACTCCTGGCCATAGACTGGCACTGGTCTGTAGCATACCAGAAACGGGGCTGCACAAATGAGTGAAGTCCCATTTGTGCACGTGTGGGATGCAGGCAGTGTGTGAAGCCACGCTCCCTCTGATCCACGGAAAAGCTTCTCTCCACAGAACCAGTACAGAACCGGTACATGTCCCAGGTACATAAAAGGTTGGGGGCCGCTGATCTAGGGGTAACAGTTCAATGGGACAGGGCCATAGGAGTGCTGCATAGACCTCAGGAATAAAAAGTTCAATGTACAGGGATATAATAGAAAAGGACTCCCATATGGTCTACATCTCCCTAATCTTCAGTGAGGAGGGACACTTTGTGGGCATTTTTAGGATGTTCTCAGTGGATGGGCAGATTCAAACCTTGTAAGGTAGTATAGATAGTCCTTGACTTACAACAGTTCATTTAGTAACTATTCAAAGTTACAACGGCACTGAAAAAATGACTTATCACCATTTTTCATACTTACAACCATTGCAACTTCTCCATGGGCATATGATCAAAATTTGAATGCTTGCCAACTGACTCGTATTTATGAAGATTGCAGTGTCCCGGGATCATGTGATCCCCTTTTGCGATCTTCTGACAAGCGAAGTCTATGAGGAAGCCAGATTCACTTAACAACCGTGTTACTAACAGCTGCAGTGATTTACTGCAACCATGGCAAGAAAGATTATAAATGGGACAAAACTCACTTAACAACTGTCTCACTTAGCAACAGAAATCTGGGGTTCAAATGTGGTCCAGAACTATCTGTATTGGATGTACCTGGATATAGAATTCAAGGAACTCTGCAAAATTTGCCATTTGAATCCATTGTTGTATATTCTTATCCACATTTGAAATAAACATTTATCTGGATGCTGATTTCCTTCAAGGGTTTTTATGCAAGAAAAGAGGGGCGCAAGTGCAACAAAAACAGCACAAAATTATGAATTACCTCATTGCTACATTACTTCCATCAATTACGATCGGCCTCAAGTTGTCAGAACTGTCCACAACATCCTCCTCCAGGGACAGCTCGGGGCTGGTTACCTCCTTGGCAGCTGTTCCACCCGTGGGAGCAGTGCTACTTCCAAGGCTAGCCGGCCCTTCATTCTCAGCCTTGTTGCCAAGCCTCACAAGTTCAGCCAAAATATCATTGATGAGAGCATCCGCCCCCAACTTGTTCAACACGGCTTGAATCTGATCCCCTGCGTAGCCCAGTTTTAAAGCGAAATCAATTTTCGCTTGATATTCTTTGTCCGAGTTCACTTTACCATCTTCCAGTTTTAAATCCTGAAGAAGGCTGCTCTGGGAGAAGCTGGGCTGATCCAAGCAAGGAGAGCGGCAAAGCTGCCGGTGAGGCTTGTGGAGGGGAATGTCCTTCTCCCTAGGTAGGGTGTTGCTGGAGCTGTTCTTGATGCAAGGCTGCTCATTTTCACTCTCGGAGCTTGTCCATTCTTCAGATTCGGTGCTGCAATCCCCACTGACTTGCTCAACAGTCCTCTCATTTTGGGAATGCCTCTTCTCCATTTTCAGCCTTTCCACCATAGACCAGGCCGTCATCACGTTGACCTTCTGGTGAGATACCCTCAAATTGCTCTCAGTGCCAAAAGTGCTTGGAATGTGTGCACCGCTGCATCATCTTGTGGCTTGCTTCTTAAACCAGTCTTGATTTTTGAGAGTCACAAAAACAATTGCACAACTTTTTGGCAGGGAGGGAAGAAAAATAAAATAAAAGGAAAAAAAAAGGAAATTAGTGACAAGTAGCAATCTGCCACAATAAGAAAAGTTAAAAGATAAGATGAATGAAAAATGGTGGATAAAGGATTGTACATTTAAATATGTTTATGAGAAATAAAAATAAAAACTTTTTTGAGAAAAAAGAAAGAAAAATAAATTAGGTCTCAAATCCAGATAAACTAAAAGAACCGCTCGCGCGGAAATATATCACACCTCAGATTATGCTAAAGCAGAAGTGCATAAATTTAGTAGCAGCAAAAACCATACCAGTTTTTAAACAGCGTATTTGATGCCATGCTACAAAGACGAGAAGTAGCATAAAAAGTGGTTCCCTCATATAAAAACTACAAGTCTCATGTTTTTCTTATACACTTATACAGGTAGTCCTTGACTTGCATCCATTCAATTAGTGACTACTCAAAGTTACAATGGAAACGAAAACAGTGACTTACAACTGATCCTCACACTTATGAACATTACAGCATCCTCACAATCATGTGATCAAAAATCAGGTGTTTAGCAACCGGCATTTGGCATAATGGCTGCAGCGTCCGGAGGCCATGCGATTGCAATTTCTGACCTTCCCAGCCAGTTTCCAACAAGCAAAATCAATGGGTGAAGCTGGGTTCACTTAATGACCACATGATTCACTAACAACTACAGTGATTCACTTAACAATCATGGGAAAAAATGTCATAAAATTGGATGCAATTCATTCAACAACCAGTTTGCTTAATAGTGGAAACTGATCCTAATTGTTGTATGTCAAGGACTACCTATACACATACACACAGAAAACTGATATCCACGGATTCAAAAGAGGTGACATGAAATTTAGCAATACGGAAGCAGAATGGGACTTGTTACTGGAGGACAATAAAATCAATATAAGGAGTTGTGATGTGATGCACCACATGCGCTCTCCAAGCCATGCTGTCAATCAAGGCACTAAACCATGACTTCATTAGTTATCCTTTACTGAACAAATCATAACTGGCATGGTTCACATGCAACTAGTTTACAACAACAAACTACAGTGTTTGTTGTAGTTTGTAGTTTGCATGTTTGAATTCATGCTAAACTGATGTCAGACAAAACACACTATAGTTCAATGTGACCCACCTTTAAGTTCATGCACTGAAATCAATGGGATGGAAAAAAGCTAAAGATATTAAGGCTAACATAGGAATATTAATTTCAAGAGAGCGGCATGAAAGTGTGGAATCAACCTAAGGAATGTAGTGGCATATAATACGTAGAGAAGAACATTATGGCAGATAAACTGTTCCAAATATACATGCATCTCTTTTCATCTCTAAACAGTAGCCTACACAATGATATCCATAACCATAAAGAAGAACCATAATTTATTGAATGTAACTTCTGCATACAAATAATTCCAAGTTTAAATCACTGATATTTTTGGTTGGAGGGATTGGAATTTGGTTGGAGGCTACTGCAAGAGCAGATATGAGCAAGTAATCTGATGAAGCAGTGATTCAATAGTAGAAAAGTATAAATTAGCATATTCTCCCACCCCTTCTTAGTGACTAGTTAATTTTTAACAGTCAATAACATATTGGGACCAAACCCCGCTCCCAATATTTCATGTATCAGCTGAAGGTATCCAAGCTGAAACTTACTGAAGGAGAAGTGGATAGTTGTTTTCTTGGATAACTCCTGCAAATTATTCAGCAGCTGCAAAAAGATAAAAATAAAAAAGAAATTACATGTTAGAGATCATTAGAAAAGGGATAGAAAAACAAAACTATTAATACTGTAATGTTTTTATGCAAGTATATGGTATGACCACATGAAATATTATGTGTTGCCTTGTTTGCGGTAACTCAAGCAAATTGTAGAGCAAGAAAGCTTTAGCCAATATTAAAGGAGAAATTCCTTCAAAGAAATATAAGATTTTGATTTCAGAAAATACATTAATAAGGTAGGTCACCATGGAGATATGGGAAAAAATGCACAATGTGGAAAAAACAGATTTTTCTCCAACCTCTGTAATATTAATATCAGGCAGAGTGGATAAAAATCAATGATATTTTTTAAAAAATCAAAAAAATCAGATTTTTTTAAATTTAAATCGGATTTTTTTGATTTTTATCGAATTTATTTTAATAAAAAACTGTTGGGGTAAAAATCTATCGTAAGATAGTTTTCTATTTAAGATACATAAATAATTTAGTTTATTCAGCATGAAATGGAGCTTAGTTATGTAGCATGAGCCTGTATATTCTGCAACACTGGGACTATCGGTGAGTCAACAGTGGGTCAAAGGAGTAGCAGAGATGACAGTTGCTCTTTAAAAATTATGATTTAAATCAAGCCTTTTTACTAGTGATTTAAATCTTGATTTAAATTGTGATTTAAATCAACTCAATTTAAATCAAATCCACCCTGATATCAGGAGCCGTCAAATGGTACTGCTAGAGGAGTCAAGGTAACCAGCCCAAAGCTAACCAGTAGAATGACCATAATCTCTTATTTAAACTTTTTGAAAAGTTATTAGACAAATTCATCTGAAACGATCAATGAGTACTAATCATTACCAGGGGTCTCCAAACTTGGCAACTTTTAAGACTTGTGGATTTCAACTTCCAGAATTCCTCAGCAGGCAAGGAATTATCCTATCACACTAGTATGTATGGTATCGTGATTGGAAACTGGATTGAGAGACTCAGATTCAAGTTTCTGCACATGGAAGTGTGCTGGGTATGATTTTCCAGCCTAACGTTCCTTATAAGGAGTACTGTGAGACTTGCCCTGAACTCCAGGAGGTAACCTGAGATATCATACAATGAATGTGTAAGGAAACTAGGTTATATTTAGCCTAATGAAGGCTGAGAAAGGTCAGGGAGACCCAATAATAGTTTTCTAATACTTAAAGGCCTGTAACGGAGACGAGGGGATCGATTTATTCTCCATAGCACCTAAGGGCAGGACAAGAAGCAATGGGTAGAAACTCATCAGAGGGAGATTCAACCTGGAAATAAGGAGGAACTTTTTGACAGTGAGACCAATCAATGAATGGAACTGCTTACATCCCAAAAGTGTGGCGGTTCCATCACTGGAGATTTTTAAGATTGGACAACCGTTTGTCCAGGATGATATAAGGACTCCTGCCTTGAGTAGGGGGTTGGACTAAAATACCTCCAAGGTACCTTCCTGCCCTATGAGTCTATGATTAAAATTTCAGTATGTTTTAAATCACCACCTTCAGAAAAACATGAGCAAAAAAGTGATGCCCAATTGTTATTTTGCTTGTGGTCTTTAAAGAGAGAGCTGGCCATAGACTTAATCATGACAGTTTCACAAAGCATTCAGCAAAAATGGAAAATGAACTCTACTAAATCTCCAGCATGTCACATTAACTGATATAAAGCTCCTTTTGAAATTCATCTGTCGTTTGAAAGGCTTAATACCTACCACTGTTCTCAAAGAAGTAAGCAATATCATGCCCTCCCAATGTGTTAAAAAACAATTCTCAACCATCTAGGCTAGCGCAAATGCTGGTGACTGATTCTGGAAGCTGTAATTCAAAATACGTAAAGGGCATCAAATTGCTCACATGAAAGGGCAACCTTTGGTGGCCAGAGGATGGGTTTGGGGCTACGCATCTAAGCCCGCATCCCCCTTTTCTTTGGGATGTGCTGTCACAGCTGGGAGCAACTTTCATACGCTGACTAGACCAACAGTTCACCCATCAATTGTCAGAGGTATATACTCCACTGTTCTGAGAGAACCCCATCTGAAAAAGAAGAATATTTGTAGCTCAGGGTTGAGCTTGCTAGGTCAACATCATCAGTGCTAGTAAGGAGTGCGGTTTGCTTTCAATTTATATTCTAGTGGATTGCCCCATCAGTGTGGATGGTTTTGGAGGTTCTTTGTTTGGGCTGTTTACTGTTAGCTTGTTTGGCAGTTCCTTGATTGGAGTATTGTTTACTTCTTGATGTTCTAATGTTATACCTTGGTGTTATACCTTCCCTAGCCTACGACTTGTAGGAGATGACCAGGATCTCTCAAGGGAGGGGTCAAGCATGTCTTGAGTCCCTTCGTGCCCACAAGAGATCTAAGACCAACCCTCCTTGAATTCCATTGACTCTTACCTATTGTCAATTTGCCTTGACTATTAGTAGTTCAGATTCTTGTAGAGAGCTAGTATAGAATAAACTTGAACTCATTTGAAAAATCTTGGTTCCTGGTTTCTCGCGTCTCACACAACTGCTCTCAAGCAGCCTACCAATCAGATGACTGGTCAATACACTCAGGATCAGGAAATCTTATATGAAACCCACAAATCTATCTTATCCATATATTACACACAGATTCAGAAGTAAATTCCACTGAATTCAATGGTAGGTATTCCTAGAACAAATATAGGACTGTGTCAAAAGCCAGAGTGTATAGAGTGGCTAAACTTATGAAGAATTTAAACTGAAATGAGGCAAAAAGAGACAGGAAGATGTTTTGTTATGCAAACACAGGTTATACATGAGATGTCCCTCATCAATTAATGATGTTCCTCCTCAATTAAGAACTGTAATGTGTAAAAACCAATAGTATTTGCCAAGAGCTTGTACAATGGCCTAAAACCTTTTTCAGCAACCTCTCACCCCATAGCACACTTTTTAAAAATCCACTTTTCCCAAACTGTCAATTTTGAGGTCTGCTAAACAGTATTCTGGAAGATTGAAATGTTAAGTAGAAACAGAAGGCTTCACCACGAATCTCCATATATGACCTGAACTCGGTCTTTTGGGAAACTTCATTAGAAAGGAACTGCTATTACAATGATTTAGGTATTTCCCCCCCTCCCCCCCAAGAAAAATAAGGAAACTGGTATGTTTACTGACATCTGTTTTGCAACCTGGGAATTATTTTGCAATGTGAAGTCTGCTCACTTTAAAATTATGATAGCCCACGTGCTTTCTGAAACCGAAAACTAAAAGTAAAGTCCTTGTCTTGCCTAGCCCTTGTCTTGCACTCTAGCCCAGCTATGCAAATCAAGGGGAATTCTCAGCTTAGAATTTCCATACGAGTTACAGAAAGGAATGGTCTCTCTTCCGGCCTTTTTTTCCCCTTCACTTTAAGGGGTGGAGGGAAAGACACCAGCGTTGGAAATCCTCATTCTAACACAGATCAACAGAAAGTTAACATTTCAGCACTGAAATTTAGTTAAAAAAAAAAAAAGTAACTACAGATGTTTTACTAGCAATTAAAAGATCAAAACTGATTTACTGACAGGTAAGTGCAAACCAGTTTGAAGCATAAATCAACTATCCCCCCCCCCCTCCAAACTGAGAAATTTGGGATTCTTTTGTTTTTCCCAATTATTAAGGCTTATTTTGCTGCACATTAACATCAATGCCTAGCTATGGAAGTCACTGTCAAGAATTGGAGGAATTTGGAGCTCAGATCTTCAGCAGCAGAAAACAGAGGAATACTTCAAGGATTAAAAAAAATGGAACAAACACTTAAGGGGGAAAAGTTAAAAATAAGGTGAGGAAAAATCTTCCACATTCCCAGACAGTTTCAGAACATGTCCTTATAAACAACCTGAGTTGCCAGTGGTCTGGAAATAGCATGAACTTGGACTGAGTCGAAAAAAGATCACTTAAATACAGTATAACCTAGGACTAAAGGCACATCAGATTATATTTTATAAACAGAGAACTCCTGCCTAATTTGAAAATAATCAATAAAAATAATCCTTTACTTTTGAAAAACAGTGAAGAGACTGCTAAAGATATTTTGAAAAATACTAGTATTTGTTTTTGAACTTCTAAAAACAAAGCTTGCTCAGTCAACACGCGACCAAACTTATAATTTTAGATTGTCCATGATTGCATTAGCAATCCCAACTACAATTACACCTTTTTTATTCAAGACATAAAGTCTGAATTTTGACTTGACATATTTCTGCATTCTACATAGCAATCTTGCTCATCCTCCAAAATTCAGAAATGTCCAGAATTCTCCAACAACACAGCCAAAAGCAGCTGTATGTGCCTTCATTCAACACATCCTTTTCAGAAGTCCAGAAAGCACAGTGTGTTCTGAAAAGATTTCTATTGGCTGCCTGTCTCCTGGGGGTGAGGAAGGTATACCTTTCGAATGGAATGTGCTACATTTCATTGTGAAGCAGGCTTATTTTGGGCCTCATAGGCTAGTTTGAGGCAGGCCTTGACTCACCTGGAGATCATGAACAATGAGGCCTTACACCTCTATGGCAGGGCTGCTGGAAGGAATCTAGGAGATTGGGAGTACTATTCAATATTTCAAATATTCTAACTCAGTTTTAAAATTATGATTCTAAATTGAAACAAATTATGATTGAATAAATTATTATTGAATTTGGTGGGAGGCCAAACTCAACTTAGATGCAAAGATTTGCTTTGTGATTTCTACCATGGATGCAAAAATCTTGGCAGAGAGCACCCTTATCTGAGATACCTGCCTGGCATAGCCTACAGCCATCAGGAACACCACTTTCCATGCCAGATGCTTTGAGGCTGACTCATGCAAGGTTTTGAGCATGGATTTGGGTTAGGGCATCATCCCATGATGGGTATTAGTGGATACTAGATGGTCTTAGTATGCAGACCCTCTGAAGAACCTCTTGATATGAGGATGAGTAGAGAGAATGATTATTGCTTCCCAACAAGGGACCAAAGAGAAGACTCAAAGTTGTCTGTTGGTTGTAGTCCTTTCTTAAGGCCCATTGGTAAGCCTGACATTGAGGTTGAAGGTTGTCATTGGTAAGATTCCTTCTCTTTGCAGAAAACTTAATCACATTCACTAGTCTAGGTCTTTCAGGATGAGCCAATCCACTGCTATTTTGCAGATCATCAAGATATATTCTGCCAATGTCTTTGGCTCATTGTCTAGGCAATGTCTTTGGCTCATTGTGGCTCCTCTGCCTAAGTTTCCTACACTGTGGGAAGCCAAGCTAGCAGTTTGCTCAAAGGACAGAAATCTTGATAAAGACTAAAGAACAAGGCTCGATTTTGAGGTTGGGGGTGTAATCCCATGCACTTTGGGTTGCAGGTTCTCCACTTTCCTGTCTTCTTGTTTTTAGGGGTTGTCTTTATCAACTATGTGTTGCCACTGAAGTATCTAGTACAGAGTGAGTTCAGCAAATCTCAGACAGCCTGAAAGAAGATAGAGAGCTTTAAGACTTGTGAACTTCAACTCCCAGAATTCCTCAGCCAGCCATGTTGAATCTTTCAGAGCTCCTGGAGCAAAAGGGATCTGCCAGAGAACTGAAAAAGAGCTGATGTGATTCCAAACTTCAAAAAAAGGGGACCCATGAAACTACATACCAATCAGCTTGACATTAATACCTGGGGAAATCCTGGAAAAGTTAATCAAGCAGCAAATTTCTGAGAATCTAGAAAAGGACAAGATGATTACAGAAAGCCAGTATGGATTTGTTAAAAGCAGATCATGCCAAACAAATCTTATTACCTTATTCAAGAAAGTGACTAAATTAATGGATCAAGGAAACACTATGGATATAGTATACTTGGATTTCAGTAAGGCATTTGACAAAGTAAATGACAGCCTGCTTCTTGGTAAGATAGAACAATGTGGGATAGATAATACCACCACCAGTTGGATCAGCGTGTGGTTTGTACTGGAACTATCTCTACATGAAGGAAAGAATGCAGTGGGGTACCTCAAGATTCTGTATTGGGGCCAGTACACTTCAACTTCTTAATAAGTGATCTAGAATAGATGAGGGGATAGAAGGAGAGATCATCAAGTTTGCAAATGACACCAAGATGGGGGCAATTGCTAACACCTTGGAACATAGATTCAAATTCAGAAAGATCTTTACATACTTGAGTATTGCACCATATCCATTATATGACTGATCATTATATCAATGATGAGAAAAGTAAGATCCTGCATTTAGGCAGGAAAAACCAAGTGCACAGGTATAGAATAGACAGTACCTGACCCAACAGTAGTACATGTGAGAGGGATCTAGATGTCCTAGTAGACCACCACTTAAGTATGAGACAGCAGTGTGCTACAGCTGCCAAAAAAGCCAATGCAGTCCTAGGCTACATCAACAAAGAGATAGCATCAAGATCACAGTAAGTGATAGTACAGTACTGCTGCATACTGCACTGATGAAGCCACACATGGAATATTTTGTCCAGTTCTGGTCACCACAATACCAAAAAAAAAAAAAAAAAAAACATGCTGAGACCATAGAAAGAGAACAGAAAAGAACATCAAATATAAGGGGTAAACCATAACGATGAATAGCTAAGGCAGGGGTCGGCAACCTTAAACACTCAAGGAGCCACAAAGGTCCTAACCGGAAGCCCCTCATTCAAGGGAAGGGAACTAAGTATGTTTAGCCTAACAAAGAGGAATTAGGAATGACAGGATAGTAGTCTTCCAATACCTGAAGGACTGGGTCAATTTGTTCCCTAAAGTACCTGAGGGCAGGACAAGAAGCAATGGATGAAGTTTGGTCAGAGGGAGATCCAACTTGGAACTAAGGAGGAATTTGCTGAATGTGAGAGCAATTAATCAATGGAAAAGCTTGCCTCTTGGTACTCCATTACTGGAGGTTTTCAAGAAAAGATGGACTTCCATTTGTCTGGGATGATATAAGGATTCCTACCTTGGGAAGGGATTGGACTAGAAGACCTCTAAGGTCCTTTTCAGTCCTATGATTCTATAAATACTGTCACAAATCCAAAGAAAATCAGGCATGCTAAAATTTCATTTGAGTTACTGGGACATAATTTAGCAGCTGCTATTTCTAATGAGGTTAATGAAACTAAAACATGACTATTTGGGTCTGAAGTTCTAAATTACAGAGAAGCAGCATTAAGGGTTGTTTCCCATCTGGCCCCACAAAGATTAATCACCGTTGCTTTTTGGAAGTCTTTCTGTTAAATATTGGACAAGTATCCACTTGAGGATGTTCTAATATTAAGTGTCCCAATTCATTGGCATATTTGTGTTTTCTTTCGCAGAGGTTCCTCTATTTCTAACTTACTAAAAAATAGACAACATAAAATAAAATAAAATGCTATTTGAAAAAAGGGAAACAAATCTTTGAAGCACAGGATAAAATCTGTTTAAGAAAAATGCATCCTGGACCTTAGGCATGGACAGAAGGGTTATATATGCTTCAAAAATTATTCAGAGTTTGAAAACATAACACAGTTCTGCAATTGGTTGAAAAGGTCACATCTTTTCTAAGGCTTGAAAAAAGGTGTGTCTCTTTTAGTGAAAAGCAGAAAGGAACTGTGCTTGTGCAGTTCAAAGTCACTTCCAAATCTCTCTAGCAGAGTGAAAAATGTAACTGAACAGGCAATGAAGGTTTCCAACAACATATATACAAATATATAGGAGGTCACTGTGGGAGTGGTTTGATCTGGTTAGTGCTCTGATTCTTGGCATCTTCCTGTAAATTAAAATGGACGTTGGCTTACCTGAACGTCCTTTTTCTGATCACTGCGACGACAATCCAAGCATGTATTTCACTACTACTTGTTAGAGACTGAGTGCAAAGATTTTTCCTCCGTTGCTTTGACCACATCCCCTGGCTCCTTCCTTCAGTCTTTTCACGAAGGTGTAGTCAGTAGGTAAGCAGAAAGGTACAACCAAGGAACACCTCTCCCGGTAGGCCCGTGTATGAAGGCACAGCCCACAGGAAACCTGCAGAGGAAAAATCAGAAAGAAAAACCCCAACCCCAGCCAGGATATGGGAAGGCCAACGGGCGGGTTGGATTGTCATCACAGCGATCAGAAAAAGGACGTTCAGGTAAGCCAATGTCCGTTTTCCTGAATCGCTGCTCCGACAATTCACGCATGGGAAATACCCAAGCCTAAGAACCCTGGGCGGGGGCCTGATCAATCCCCTGGCCGTGGGTGGTGATTACAGATTGCAAAACCCTTCTACCAAATGACACCTCGGCCGAAGCACAGGCGTCCAACCTGTAATGTCTTATAAAGGAGGATAATGACGACCAAGTGGCCACCCTACAAATATTGTCTATAGATGCCTGGGTAGCCCAAGCGGCAGAGGTGGCAGCGCTGCGAGTAGAATGGGCTAAGACTCTACCTGGCAAGGGTCTGCCCTTGAGTTCATAGGCTTTGGAAATATAAGCCTTGAGCCCTGCCCACTGTAGCTGAAAAACTTTTTGCCCCATAGAAGCAGGATGAAAAGAGACGAACAAAGCCTCCGTCTGTCTAAACGAAGGTGTCCGCCTAATATATCGTCTGAGGGCCCTGCGGACATCTAAAATATGCCATCATTTTTCCAGTGGGTGGCGAGGGTCAAGACAGAAGTTCGGGAGAACGAGCTCTTGAGCCCAATGAAAGTGGGAATTAACTTTGGGAACAAAGGCTGGATCCAGGCGAAGGACCACACGGTTGGAGTGAAAAATGCAGAGATCTTTCCTAATGGAGAGAGCAACTAGTTCGGAAATCTTCTTGTGGATGTCACTGCAAGGAGAAAGGCAATCTTTAAGGACAAGAAGCAGAGACTGTTGGAACCTAGTGACTCAAATGGGGAAACTGTCAATGCCTGGAGAACCAAGGGCAGATCCCACGTTGGATAGTGATGCACAACAGGTGGTCGAAGGTTGGTAGCCCCTTGGAGAAAGGAACGAATCCGCGGATGATGAGAAAGAGACTGGTGAGATTCACTGGCAAGAACTGTGGCCAAAGCTGCAACCTGGTGACCGAGAGTAGTGGGTGCCAGTCCTTTATCCAGGCCCGCCTGCAAAAACTCGAGAACATCCGGCACCGTTGCTGATGTTGGATCGATGTGTCGGGTAGAGCACCACAGACAAAAGGCTTTCCAAGATGCATTGTAGATCCATTCTGTCGAGGTGCACCTGGATGCCTGAATGGTGGAGATGACTTTTCCAGAGAGGTTGTCCTTCCTCAGGAGGTTCTTCTCAAGTGCCAGACGGTCAACTGGAGCCTCTGGCTGAGAGAAATCCTGTCCTGAGGAATTCTCCAAGGACGTGAGACAGACAGACCTACCAAGTCAGCGAAATAGGCCCTGCGAGGCCAATGAGGCACAACCATGAGAACTTCCGCCCGTTCGGCTAGCAGTTTCTGTAGGACCCTCGGAATTAGCGAAATTGGAGGGAACACATAAAGCAGTCCCCGAGGCCAAGGACAGCGGAGAGCACTGCAACCCTCCGCACCGGTGGTTGGAAACTGTGAGAAAAACCTTGGAAGCTGCGCATTTTCGGGAGTGGCGAAGAGATTGACTAAAGGCGTGCTGAACCTGTGCGTCAGCTCGAAAAATAGATGAGGATGGAGCTTCCACTCTGAGGGGTCTATTCGAGCCCTGCTCAGCCAGTCCGCTCGAAGATTGGTCAAGCTGAAGATATGCTCCACTTTCAGTGAGAGAGTATGTCTCTCGGCCCAGCACATTGGAGCCCAGACGAGCTCCGCCTCGTCCATCAGCGACTTGGAAAGCGTGCCCCCTTGTTGATTTATATGGGCCTTCGTGGCCATGTTGTCTGTCAAAATGAGAATGTGGCGAGCCGAGACCTTGTCCCAAAAATGACGGAAGGCAAGGCAAACTGCCCGCAACTCCAGCCAATTTATACTGTTTGTCCTTTCCGCTTGGGTCCATTGGCCCTGAGCCAGTTGACAGTGTAGATGAGCCCCCCAACCGTAGAGGCTCGCATCCGACATTAATGTGACATGTTCTGGTTCACGGAACATGCACCCAGCTTGAAGAGCCGACAATGTCCACTAGCGGAGGGAGAGACGAACACGAGGTGGTACCGCTACCTTGGTCCTGGAGTTGCTGCGTCCCTGTCGTTGAAATGGCAGAAGAAACCACTGAAGCGGATGGGTGTGTCACGGTGCCCAGGTTATGATTGCAATACAGGAAATCATCTTTCCTAGCAATTGGGATAGAAGAATTAATGGAAGAGTCTGTTGTGACAATATTTGCACCACCAAGTCCTTGATACTGACTTGGCGATCAGATGACAGATAAACCTGGCCCTTGACAGAGTCGATCACTGCCCCAGATGGGAGTATGTGTGTTGACGGCTGTAGATGACTCTTTTCCACATTGAGTGTGAAGCCATGACTCTGAAGTGTGCGAATCATCATCGCGCTGTCGTGTGCTGCCTGTACCAGTGAAGACGATAGGATCAAGATGTCGTCCAGTAGGCTACCATACGTACCAGAACCATGTGGACCGAGGCTGCTACAGCCGCCAATAATTTGGTGAACATTCGTGGGCCCGATGAAAGGCCAAAGGGCATGGCTCAGTACTGATAGTGATGGTTGGCATATGCAAAGTGGAGATACCGCTGGTGCATCGGATGGATCGGCACATGTAGATATGCTTCCTTGAGGTCCACAGACTGTAGCAGATCTCCCTCTCGTATGCACCCCAATATTGATCTGAGGGAGTGCATTTTGAAGCACCTGTATAAGACATAAAGATTCAGCTGCTTGAGATTCAATATCCCCCTCCAGCCCCCCGAACTTTTGGGTACCAGAAACAGGATGGAATAAAACCCAGCCCGTTCCTGGTCCTTTGGTACCGGTTCGATTGCCTCGATGTCCAAAAGATGTTGAATCTCGAGATCCATGATTTTACTGAATGAAACGGTACCAGACACTGAATGTAACAGTTCGGAGGGCTTGAGTGGAATTCCAGAGTGAAGCCGAAGCGGATGGTGCGTAGAATCCAGGCATCTGACGTGGAGACCTCCTATAGACGATGAAAGTGTTGGAGCCGACTGCCTATGGGGACGGGAGGCAGAGAGTCACTTACCACGGCGGAAGGGATGGGAGCCTCTGCCACAAAAGGGTCGTCTGGACTGTGGCTGACGTCGAGCACGATCTCTAAATGCTGACTGGTCTGAATATTGGGAAGACCCCTGGAAAGATGATAGTTGGAAATAGGAACCCCCCCCCGGGTCCAGAATCAGATCGAAAGGGCTGCCTCTGTGAATAAGGTGTGTACCGGCAATCTGATCACCTACACGATGAAGGGAGAACCTTCTTCTTATCCCGTCCCTCAATCAATATCGAATCCAATGCCACACCGAAGAGGGAAGACCCCTTATACGGAGCCAACGCGAGCTTCCATTATGATTTCATGTCCGCCCTCTAATGGCGGAGCCACAACAGTCTACGAGATGTGACCGCAGAAACCAGGGCACGGGAGGCAAACTTTGGTGCATTCAATGAAGCGTCCACCAAATACTGGGTGGCGGCCCCCAGTTTATTAATGTCCTGGTGAACTCGAGCTTCATCAGGGGAAATTCTTTCTTGTAATTGGTGAAGCCAAATTAAGGACGCTCTCTTAAAAAAGGAGGCTGATGTTGCAGCACTGATGGCCAAAGCAGCCGCCTGGTGGGATTTCCGAAAAGACATTTCAGCTCTCCTGTCCTCCATCTTGAGTCTCTCCCCGATATCATTGGAAATGACAAAGTGAGGCTAGTGACGGGTGCGTCTACAGCAGGTAATTGCAATAACACATCCAACTCAGGGGCTGAGCAATAAAGTTTCTTATCATGGCCACTAGGACCAGCCAAGGATCCCAGTTGATCCCATGGCCATTGGATAACTTCAGTAAATAAATCTGGGCAAGGGACACAGTCATGTTCCGGCTTGGTCATTCTGAATAAATTTTCATGTGGACCGGAGGTATCCGTGGCCTGGGAAACAGGGGCCGTCACTATCCCCATATTAGTTGTCACTTTCCCTTTATGTAACAGAGATTTGAAAAGTGATGGTCGAAACAGACCTGGAAAAGCCGGCAGGTCCGGTGCCATCCCATCTTCAAAAAGATCAGATTCTCCTAAATATTCCTCGTCTTGTAAAGAGCCCTCACTATGAATGGATTCCTGTGCTGAAGGCGACCCTGAAGTGTCCCAGGTAGCTGCTTGCACCTATGGTTTAACAGCAGTGCTGGTCGGGGCCAAGTATGCAACTTGTTGAATTCCAGCCACAAAGATGTGGGAAATTGCCTCTGAAACCATAATTTGAAGGTCCAGAGCTAGACCAGCACATTGTCCCGCTGCAGTCGGGGTAAATGTCACCTCCGGGGCTCTACGGTTAATTGCAGAAGAGAAAGATTCTCCCTGCGTTTGCACGGAGGGAGTAACTATGGGCCCTATATGGGAAACCTCAAAAAATGGCATGACATGGTCAGGTCAGCCACTGGGGCGGCTCTCATCTCTTTGGCCACTCCAGATGGCAAAGGAGTAGATATTTCTATATCAGGCAAGTCAATAATGGCAGCAGAGTCACTACATTGACGAACAGCTTGTGCCTCACGTTGGGCCTTGTCAAATTGTCATTCTAATGCCTTATGCCGTCTATTGGCATCTCTATCAACCACAGTAGCCCCTTTTAAGGGTGCAGATGGAGAGGCCTGCAGTGTACGTGACTTGCTTCTGGATCCCTTTTTAGAGTGTCTGGAACCAGAATGCTTGGAAGCAGAAGCTTTAGATGTAGTCGCCTCCATCCTAGTTGGACTACCCTTATACTCCATGTCCGAAGACAGAGCAGAATCAGCCATTACTAATACCCCTAGCAACTTTTTTAACCAAGATGGCAACTCAGGGAAATAAAGGAGCTGCAATAATCCCAAGGGAACTAATGATGCAATCCTTACACCCCCTTCTAAGCGCAAAGTCTTAATAGAAGGGAAAACTTCAGAGTCGCCTTTTGCACAACTGGAAAACCTGTCCTTGACGGCTGGTGCTGCTCCCACGATCGATGGTAGTAGAAACTGTGAGGCGATTTCAGTCCAGGCCCACAAGGAGGGAAGACAGTGTAAGAGGAGCCAACCCTCCCCCCCCAAAAAAAAACAGCGCTTCGCTCACTGGCTCGGCTTTAATTTCAAAAAGTCCCAGAGCCAAGGCAGGCAGAACTAAGGCGTGAGGCAGAAAACCTCCAAAATCACCCCTGCGGCCGAACGGTAACAAAATGGCAGACACGAGTAGGCAACTTCCCCTCAGCGCCACTGCGGCTGAAACAAATAAAATGGCAGTCTGAGCGGTAGATCTCTCTTAAGCAGCGCTGCAACCTGCCAGACAACCAGAAAATAGCGCGAAGGCAAGAACAAGCCCTCCCAGCACCGCGAAGCCGACTTCCCAGTTGCGGAGTATGCTCCGATCCCAGGCAGTGACTCCGATGCCGCCCTGACTTCAAAGGAGCTGTGATAGTGGTGGTGGTTATGCAGGCAAGCCGGGAACCAGCTCTTCCACCGGCAGCGATCCAAATGTCGGAGGAGCCCGGACGGACGGCACTCTGACAAAAGCTGCAAAGAAAACAATCCGTGGGTGGCCATCAGCAACCTGGAGCCCCAGGAACGCAAAAAGAGGCCGCCAGCAGCTAAGGAGGAGAGGCAAACCTCCAGACGAAATAGATTCTATTTCGAATAAAGCAAAGTCCAACAGTACTAAGAAAACCAGAAAATATGAAAATAGAAATAAATTGGTAAAAAAACAAGTCTCTGGTGTCAGAGAAAGGCAACTCAAGTCTCTACAACTAGACTGAGTGAAAAGACTGGGAGACAGGAGACAGCGGGTGTAGTCAAAGCAATGGAGGAAAAATCTTTGCACTCAGTCTCTAACAAGTAGAAGTGAAATACCCATGCGTGGATTGTCAGAGCAGCGATTCAGGAAAACTAATATTGTTAAATAGATTATGACAACATTTTCATATGCAAACTATAATATCACTGCATGTACACACAGATTGGAGTGTACAATAGTTTCTCACAATCAGAATAACAGAGTTGGAAGGGACCTTGGAAGGGACCTTCTAGTCCAGCCCCCAGCTCAGGCAGGAAACCCTATACCCGTGATGGCGAACCTATGGCACACGTGCCAGAAGTGGCACATAGAGCCATCTTTCTGGGCATGCGACCTGTCGCCCGTTGCTCTTCTGGGTTCCGGCACACTGGCCAGCTGGTCTTCACATGAGCGGAAGCACCGGAAATCAGAAGAGCAGCTTCCTGACACA